GCTAGAGTAAGCATTTTTCAACATAGCTTGACAGTAGTTAGGCATTAGTGGATACTGCACAATTTTATATGCAATAACATTGCTTATCTAAGTGTTGTTCTGTGTTGCTGCATATAGAAGGTAAAGTACAAGATTAAACATAGCAGAGAAATATAAGTTTAGTGCTATAGAGTGAGGTGTTCCTATTGCAGGTTATGCTAGGTGTACTGGTAGTTGCTTAAGAGATTCTACATGTAGATTATTAAGCTATTTATAGCGATTATTCATAGCAGAGTTTACACCGTGAGAGAACAGTATGATTAGTTATTAGAGAGACTAACAATAAACGTGTACTATTTGTATGGCTGATAACATATCATCGCTTGAGTAATAATGTCGTTAGACACGCCAATGATATGTGGGAAGATGAGACGTCCCAACAGTAAGGTGAGAAACTGCAAGATGTGCTTTAACATAAAAAGGGTCTAGCATCTTATTGCAAATGTCCGCCAGGTTGAGTGGGTTCTGCAGGGTCTTCTTTATCGGCGTCATCACCGGAGCTAGCCAGCCGGCAGTCCGGGTCTTTTCATCTGCTCATCCGATGCCCAGTCTATGCAGAAGTGGAAGTTCGCGCTGCCGTGGGGTTGTTTGCTGCATGGTGGTGCTTTTCGGCATGTTGTGAGGTTGTGCCTCGCGTGGATGCGAGGGAGTGCTGGTGCCCGAGGGATATGTCGCCTTTTCCCGCCATCTCGTTTTGCGGTACGTGATGTGTCGGCCTTTGGTTGTTGGGACCACTGGATGAGGAGTAGATTGGGCCTTGTTCTTTGGCTTGTGCACGTGAGTTTCGGCTCTCGTGGGACCCGGCACGGTCACTCGCCCCTCCGAGCTTCGGCTCTGATGCTGTCTGGAGGCCGCTCCGGCTCTGCGAGGGGGGTTCCATTGTAGGATGCGTCGGGTGGTCGGGCGTGTCCACGCTGCCACCTCCCTCATCGCCAGCCTGTAGGGTTGTCTTCGGGCTTTAAGTTGTGCCCAGAAATAGGTGCGTAGCCGGTCAATGAAAACCCCTGTGTGCTTGGGTGGCTTGATACATATGTGCTGGGTCCCAGCCCTCGTCCGCGCCACCATCTTGGCTGGGCCTATGGGGTCCCGTTTGATTGAAGGTTTTGTCGCTTGATCGGGTGTACATGTGGGGGTAATCGTCCCCAGCGAGAACCGGGATGTCCCCCACCGGTCCAGAGGGGGGGGTAGCAGAGCTGTAATGGGCTTAGGAGCATGTCCTGTGCCAGGAGATCGGCCGCCTCCCCCGGTCCTCAGGCTTCGCTCTAGTATAGGCCGCATGGTCAGTTTCAGTTTTTCCGCAGCGCACTGGTGCCGGACAGAAATCATTTTGTTCCTGATGCCGTTGTGCGTCTTGTACCGGTCCCTGTTTGCCGCTAATGCTGGTATATCGGTCGGTATCTTTACTCTTTAGTCCATTGCTGCAGGAGCTCATATAATGTGCAACCGGCCATGTTAGCTGTCAGGCCCCGCCCCCCGTGACCCAACTTTTTAAAGCAAACTATGTAACATTACATAATCAGGTTAAAACACTCCTTCAGGGATGGCACAAAAAATTTATGTCTTGGACCGGCCGAGTGGCTGCGGTGAAAATGGTAGTACTCCCGAAATATAAATACTTATTTAGGACCCTCCCCATTCGGATACCGTCCTCCTACTTACAGAAAATCAAACATTACTTAACCAGTTTAAATGGGCACACAAAAAAAACCAGGGTTGCTGTCTCCACGATGTGCAGACACCACACGGGAGGGGGCATGAGCTTCCCCAATATACAACACTACTACCGTGCTGCTAACATTAACCCCATCATCATAGCACAAACCCAAGAGCAACGTCCACAATGGGTGGCACTGGGGTCAGACATATCTCCAGGGCACCACTTTTTATCGGTCATGTGGATCCCGCCCCCCATTAGACCTAAAGGCATAACGCTGCTACCTACCACAGCCTTGACAAAACACATATGGGAATCCAACAGAGCTACTCTATGCATGACAAAGGCCTATACCGCAGCAATGACGATCACCACACTACAACTGCTGATCCCAGACTTTAGTTCCCGACTGTGGGAGAGGCACCACATTAAATGCATCACACAATTACTACAGGGACGAAAAATCATACCCTTCCCACAACTACAAAATGATTATAACTTGCCAAGTACAGCGGAGTTCTCATATTTCCAAATAAGAGCATGGTTACTTAAATATTATATACACCGGCAATGAAAAATGTGAATGAGCTGCGGCTGATGACCTTCAAACGGGTAATGACAACACAAATGCCAGATAAGAAAACAGTTTCGCTACTGTATGCTAGCCTAAATAAGGACTTGCATATCAAAACATTTGTACAAGCCTGGGGACGCGAGCTCAACCTCAATCTCCCTTATAAAGCATTGGAACGGCTATTCGCCATCCATAAAAGAAAAACCTAACCCTATGCTCATCCCACAGAGCTTTCTTAAAAATTGTTATATAGATGGTACCTAGTACCAAAGCAGCTACACTGCATGAACCCAACAGTATCTAACCAATGCTGGAGATGCCAAAACGGCATGGGGGACAGGCTCCACATTTGGTGGGGGTGCCCAAAACTATCAAAATACTGGCCCCCAACAGTACAGGAATGTATCCACCTAGTGGATCAAAACAAAACCTCAGAATGTGCAGCGAGAATGGCGGCCAATCAGCAGACCAAAATATCGAGGATAGCCTGGGAATGATGGACTGAGGCTATGAAAGCCATGGCACCAAACACCCGGGACCCCAACCCACCTGAAGTATCGACAGCCGCGCTCATGTAAGTAAATCATGTGGGAAATTCATAAAAGGAAGTTCTGTCAGACAGACCATGCATAATGTGGAAAAATGATACTAGGTGTTTGCCTGCACAATCTGGTTACTCCTGAGCCTCTGATAAGGCCACTTGACCTATACGTTAACATTAACGGTCCTGGATTCCTTAACCTACGCTAGAGCACCTACCCGTCAACCTGTCATGCACATACCCAGGACAATACACTCAAGCACTATACTCGACAAGACTGTGGCAGTACATGAGAGCTCAGTTCACATAAAGCTCTCCATCCCAGGTACCCCCACCCCTTCTATCCCACCCCCCCTCCTGTTACCCCCTCCCCCGTTTTGATAAAACTCACAGTACATTGCTGACATCTAAAGTGTGAAACAATGTTCAGCTCCTAAACACCAAAGAAATCTGATGTACCGTTGTTAAGATGACTCATGCTATTGTTTACAAAGTATCGCAATATGAGAATGTCTTACTTAAAGGAACACTATAGTCACCTAAATAAAGCAGTTTTAGTGTATAGATCATTCCCCTGCAATTTCACTGCTCAATTCACTGTCATTTCGGAGTTAAATCACTTTGATTCTGTTTATGCAGCCCTAGCCACACCTCCCCTGGCTATGATTGACAGAGCCTGCATGAAAAAACAAAAAACTGGTTTCACTTTCAAACAGATGTAATTTACCTTAAATAATTGTATCTCAATCTCTAAATTGAACTTTAATCACATACAGGAGGCTCTTGCAGGGTCTAGCAAGCTATTAACATAGCAGGGGATAAGAAAATCTTAATTAAACAGAACTTGCAATAAAGAAAGCCTAAATAGGGCTCTCTTTACAGGAAGTGTTTATGGAAGGCTGTGCAAGTCACATACAGGGAGGTGTGACTAGGGTTCATAAACAAAGGGATTTAACTGCTAAATGGCAGAGGATTGAGCAGTGAGGCTGCAGGGGCATGTTCTGTACACCAAAACTGCTTCATTAAGCTAAAGTTGTTCAGGTGACTATAGTGTCCCTTTAATGCAATGTGTCATGCATGTCTGTGAATAAAAGTTATCCAATAAAAAATAAAACATATGCACTAAGCTATACAACTTTCCTGTAAATGTATAACAAAAGTTATAGAGCTGTAAATACATTTATGTTGTGCAAAGGCACCTACATGCTGAAGAAATGTCTGTAACAGAGTATTACTGATCTGAAAATAGAATTTTGAGTCTTGCTCTAAAGTACTATGCATATGTCCAGGGTCATACCTAGAGCCTTTGGCACCCGGGTGGATCGTGTAAAAATCCATTTATCCATTTAATAATTAAATGGCCCATTTGGATTAATGTCTGATATTCTGTTTTAAATGTTTTTTTTATTTTAGTCATAGTCAAGGGAGTCAAACAGCGTTATAGTAAAACGGTTTTACATGAGCCTACGCAGAGGCCTAATGAGGCAGCTGAGAGCAATCTCACATATCAGTAGCATGAAGCACACAGGGACAATACGTTGTCCAGTAAAGGCACATTCCTCAGGTGAAGTGTAAGTAAGCATCATTGGGTGATCGTTAAGGAGCATGGCCACTTTCAGAAGTATCACGTAACTGAAATCAACAGGCATTTTTCTAAACCGAACTTACTGTGCCAATGAAGCCTTAGTGTAAGCAAATATAGAACATATCTAAATTAAACATGGGTAAATGCGAAACTCCGCACATTACGGCATGGAACGCAGTCATGCGATAGCATTTATCTAATGTGGGACTAAAATACAAAACACTTCAGAGCATAGCAAAACATAGCCTGAGTAGGCGAGATAGGACATTGTGCTGAAGCATAATTGATAAGCGGGGCTTTGCACTTTCAGGTAACAAAGGGCCAAAGTATAGGAGCATTAACATTCATAGAGATTGTGTCATTGCATAATTAGCATTGTAACCGCAGGTGGTTCCCTTATTTACCACTATAATGTCTTAAAGCATAGAACTTAATAGAGCTAACCATACAGATCTCTTGGCCATAATTTTATATAGTTAGTAAGAGATCCTCTATTTAACATATATAAATAATTGAGAATACAATATAAAATAAGGATTGTCTTGGAAGCAATAGTTTTGTCTTTTTAGATATTTATTATATAAAAATATAAATATAGACATATAAAATCCATTATAGCAGAGTTTATAAGATTAAATTAAATGCTTGCAAATATCATTAATAGGTTAACATACCCTTCTGAACATGTCATCATGTCAGCCTCTCTGTCATTTTAAGATGGAGCAGCGTCGGTCTCCAAGTCTCTCCTCTGTGCCTTAACATTTAAAAGTACACCTATTTATGCCTTAGGTGTCTCCATTTTAGGGTTACCCTAGTTCATATATGAAAAAGTAACACTTCTTTTACTTTATTCATTTTAGGACCTCCCTTAACTTGGCAAACATACAAGGCCATAACTAAAGGGTGTATACGTCATGGAAATTTCCCTGACTTAGTTCAAGATGGCATCTTAAAGTCTGAATAGGTTATCTGTTGTTTATACTAAGTCGTAAGTGTACAGTCGTGGGAGATTCACAGATTTGGGGAAGTTCCATTAACTTGGGGTTACCACAGTATATTGTGTACTGAAAGAGTCGTAGTATAGCCTTGAAGCTTGTTTATGCATTATTGTAATTGTAATTCGTCTGGGACAAAATGGCGCAAACATATTATGCACTGGGGTTATTGCTTAAAGAAACAGTTACGAAAAACAATATGTTCCATTTCCAACACCTTGTCAATTTGCAATCTCTCTTAAAGACAAAGTACACAGTTTAAGAAATACAACATTTCATTCTTAAACTTGTAATATTTGCATTTGCCCATAACAGCATAATGGCTAAAACACAACCCTATTTAAAAAATAAAATAAACAGAGTACAAGAAAAAAAGAGAAAAAAAAAAAAAGGTAATTGATTGGTGTCAACTCCTCGGCATAGAGGGGTTACAGAAAAGGAATTAAGCCCATTACGTGAGGTTCCATGCTTGAGCATCTACAGGACTATATCAAAGTGCCCTCAGGGATCTTGAACCAGGCACGTTTGGCAAATTAAAAAAAAAATAATACAAAATTAATATATATATATATATATATATATATATATATATATATATATATACACACACACACACACACACACACACACACACACACACAAAACAATTTTTAAAAGATAAAATAGCACATTTCAATTCCCTCATTCTATTGCCCACCAAAGTCTGCCCCCCCCCCCCCAAGCCGAGGCACATCTTAGCTGCAGGACACAAGTGTAGATCTCCTCCTTTTCTTCCTCTGCAGCAAGCCCAATGCCTCCAGGGGACTGAAATCCCCGTGGTACCCCTAAGCCAGTCCCTGTCCCCTGCCAGTGCAGTCCATGGCAATGTGGGCACTCAGAGTTAGTCACAGTCTACTGGACCCCCACCACAAATAATCCGCAGACAGCTCAACTCCTGCACCTCCCTGTGCCACTTCAGCTCCTGTCTGGCGTGAATTGCCTCAAGTCTCACCCAGCTCCGGCCACACACTTGTTGTCAGTGGGCTTCACCTCCAGTCACCGGTACGCCGAAGGATCGTGCAGACCGGCCCCAAAGGGCTCTCAGAACCAGGGAGTATTTGCTCCAGGCCACTCCTCAAACCTAGAGACAGAGGCCTCCACCACAGCAGTGGCCACGCGGCAGGAGAGCCACCCCTGAGGGAACTTTAACATGCAGCAGGTCTTCACTGCGGGTATGTATTAATTTTCTGTCCCCCAGGCAAATGTGTGAGTATGTGTGTGGCACTCAGAGCAGGACAGCTGGGGAGGGACCAACTTGTGGATGTGCCATCATCTCTAACACCATCTCAGTCCAAACCTCCACAGCAAGGACCTGGATCAACCCGCCGACCGGGGAGGAGGGGCCGGGCCGCCACTTGCTCCTCCCTGCACATATTACTGCTTTTCATGGCAGTGTGGATGCAATCAGCCCTTCCGTGAACGCTAGTCGCAGGCTTCAGGGCCATGTGCCCGGGTAGGCCCAAGAGTAGTGCGGCTCCATCTGACTGGTGCACCCAGCGGCAGCACAGGAATCGTAAGGGAGCTTAGGTGTTCCCCCACCCAAATCAGTGAGTTGCAGACTTGTTTAATGATCATAAAATTTGCCCTTTGAAGAGGTTTGAGTCCGGAGCCACGGGAGATGGCTGCCGCTCAGGTCAGCGGCATGGCCTGCCCCCAATGTCTGATATTCTAACACTTCTTTTGTGTGAAATACTCTCTGCAGACTTGATTTTAAGATTATGCACCAATGTTATCCCAGCAATTTTACATATTTAACATAACATAATAATATTTTTATTAGTGATATTGCAGAAGGTCTTGATGGTAAGGTATGTCTTTTTGCTGATGATACTAAGATATGTAACAGGGTTGATGTTTCAGGAGGGATAAACCAAATGACAAATGATTTAGGTAAACTAGAAAAATGGTCAGAATTGTGGCAACTGACATTTAATGTGGATAAGTGCAAGATAATGCATCTTGGATGTAAAAACCAAAGGGCAGAGTACAGAATATTTGATAGAGTCCTAACCTCAACATATGAGGAAAGGGATTTAGGGGTGATTACTTCTGATGACTTAAAGGTAGGCAGACAATGTAATAGAGCAGCAGGAAATGCTAGCAGAATGCTTGGTTGTATAGGGAGAGGTATTAGCAGTAGAAAGAGGGAAGTGCTCATGCCATTGTACAGAACACTGGTGAGACCTCAGTTTTGTACACAGTACTGGAGACCGTATCTTCAGAAGGATATTGATACCTTAGAGAGGGTTCAGAGAAGGGCTACTAAACTGGTTCATGGATTGGGGATAAAACTTACCAGGAAAGGTTAAAGGATCTTAACATGTATAGCTTGGAGGAAAGACGAGACAGGGGGGATATGATAGAAACATTTAAATATATAAAGGGAATCAACACAGTAAAGGAGGAGACTATATTTAAAAGAAGAAAAACTACCACAACAAGAGGACATAGTCTTAAATTAGAGGGACAAAGGTTTAAAAATAATATCAGGAAGTATTACTTTACTGAGAGGGTAGTGGATGCATGGAATAGCCTTCCAGCTGAAGTGGTAGAGGTTAACACAGTAAAGGAGTTTAAGCATGCGTGGGATAGGCATAAGGCTATCCTAACTATAAGATAAGACTATGGACTAATGAAAGTATTTAGAAAATTGGGCAGACTAGATGGGCCGAATGGTTCTTATCTGCCGTCACATTCTATATTTCTATGTAACTGATGCATTCAGAATAACTGACATTACTCGTTTAATGGTTAACCAAAGTTAAAAATATTCTTTTATTTTGACACATCACTTTTTAAAAGGGGTGGATGTGGTCTTGCAACAAAATAATTTATTTGAGCTTAACAATATACCTTTCTGTGACTGTCCCCTGGCATAGAAGGGGTTTATTCAATTAGTTCATTTTGCAGACTGTCCATGGGCTAGCTACTTTTACCTTTGAAGGACTGTAAACCTTGCAGAAGGCTACACATAGTGTAAATTTTAATTCATCTCCAGGATGAATAGGTTGGCCATACCACATTTTGCACAGCAAGTTTGTATATCACCAGAATTTTGCTGCACTTTTAAAACTATACTTTATTTGCCTTTCTTCGTTTTTGCGGTCCTTTCTTTTCTTTTTTTCACATGCTTGGGGATCTTGTTTTTTCTCTTCTCCTTCTGGGCTTCTTTAGCAATCTTTTTTCTTTCCTATTAAAGGCAGGTGAATGGAAAGTATTAAAAAGCTGATGGCAGGACATCTAAGACAACAGGGAACAGAGTTGGAATTTATAAAAAAAAATATGCCCAAGCAAAAAGGAGGAGGAAACTTTTGGAAGTACATGACAAAAAGCAGTACACTGGATCAGACAGGACAATTTCTAATATACAACTTAAAACAAACTTTGGATTTACAACTTGGTTTTGCAAATTACATTTTATTGACTTTTATTAGAAGAAACAACAGCTTTACAAACCAAGATTGTGTTAGAATGCATACCGAGAAATTAGTAACAACACAATAACACTTATTCTGTCTGCTTTTATATAGTTTCTAGTTGCCTTTGTGTCGGAGTTGAGCTAGAATTGTGTAGTCTGTTCCTGCAGCTGCATGCTTAATGAAGTGGCCATTGATCATGGCTTTATGTGTAAGCCAAAAGGTTTAAGCCATAATGACAAATAACATTAGTTAGATTTTGGGTGCCATCCCATTAGCAAACTATCATTTATCTTCCAGCATGTAAATGTACTAACCTTTTTATCCACGACTGGCTCAGAACTCCGATCTTTAGGATGAATGTCCGCTTCAGAGTCAGAAGCCGACCCATCATCACTGTCACTATCAGATTCTGATCCAATCTCTTGTGTATGATCACTATCCTGCAGCAAAGTTGGTACCTGCACATGCATTACACATTAGTTATGTGCTATGGAATACAATACAGGAAACATGCCTGCTTAAAAAGTTCAGCACATGAAAAGGGGACATGCATCATTTCTACAACTAAGCCACCAGTGCCTCTCAAGCTGAAGGAGATTAATGCTAGTAATATAGAAGAAGTCTATATTCAGGATTATAAATGCAGCACTAGTAATATAGAAGAAGTCTATATTCAGGATTATAAATGCAGCACACTAATGTGTTTGCACTAACACCGTGCTGCACCACAAAGAGGCATTCCTACTCACTGGGAAACAGGAAGAAAAATCCTAAACAATCAGAAAACAGAACTTTGAAAAGAGGATGAATGGGCTATTAATTGAAGAATGTGCAGGCTGTGGTTGATGTGAAAAATGCAGTTTGTTGTAAATCCACTCCAAAAAGTTATTAACAAATGGGGAAGAACCAATTGGCACTGAAGCTGTAGGTATTATGGTGTTGCGAATCTCCTGTAACTAAGTATAAAAGCCAGCCAACCTTACCATTTCAACACCAGAAAGGTCTTTCTTCAGTCCTGTTACAGTCTGATATAGAATCTATAAGACAAAAACAAAACACAAAGTTCGTATCACTCATAATGAATCGTTTGTCAAAGAGCTTTCTAATAGAGAAGCTTCAATGATTTTACTGTAATAGCCATTTAGTCAGTTAACCGTTGCAATGACATTGTTCATGTAATATGTACATGTAATGTGTAGTATATTTAGAGAATATGATCCAACAGTGAAAGGACAGGAAAGTTGGACATCTGATAGAGACTCATATAATTACATTAATAAAGATGCAAAAATTGATGCAAGCAACTCAGATCAGGCATATTTACAAGGCTTCACAACATAAAACTTTATATGCTTTAATGCTCCTGTCCACAGGCAGCTCTGAGTGTTGGCCCCTGTTTGAAGACCTTAACCCTTGCATTGGCAAAGATGTGATTATTCGCAAAACTTAATAGTCAACAGGCATTTTTACAAAAATACAAATTGGGCCCATCTTTCTGGTCACATTATTCTGTTACAAATGAAACTTTAAACAGCCACTATAAATGGTTCTTTTGAATTCATGCATCTTAGAGGAGAATAAGATCCCACATCTTCTGTATAATTTTTTGTTTTGTGTTTACTAAATAAACAAAACAGTAGAGATTTGATTGGTAACAACTGATCAATATGAGAGAGCTGAAAAGACTAAAAACTCACGTTATCTTGTTGGGTGTTTAAGGCCATGTCCTCTTCTTTCAGCTTATGCATTAAGTCTACATCTCTCTCATAGTTCTTAACCTCATTTAGTGTTCTGGGAATATAGGCTTTCTTAAACACCTAAGAAAACAAGAGAAAGCAGTAATCAGAGACACAATTACCATTTTTAACTGGCATACAATTTTGTCCCAAGTAAGCAAATACATAATACAAGTCTTAACAAAATAGGTCTTGTCGCTAACCAATAATGGTCTGTTTCACCTCGCCATTATTATAGTTGCAAAACAGATATTTCACAATAGGGCCTGGACATAGATACATGTAGGATTGGTCAGGTACCGGTTTAGAGAATATCCACTGGAGAAAAAAAAAGAAAATAAAATACTGCATAGACTACAGAGTTCCATGTTCTCATGGAAAGAGACTAGAGTAGCAAGGGGAACCTTAGTCCCAGAGGAAGAGTTTGATATATATTCCAACTACAGGGGGCATTACTTTATAACAACTTAAGTTTAACTATGGCATTTGCTTCCCCACTCCTGGCTTGGAATATGTGTACATGACGCTATGCAAGGACTGGAGCAGTGAGTCCGAGGTATACAAATATGTGAAGTACATTGTGATTTATATTAAGATTCCAGGCTATTTTCCTTATATACAGTTTGAAAAATCTCCATGAAGTTTAGCAGTGTATCAGTTTCGGCCACACCCTAACTGCTTGTCTAGACGCTATAGTCTATTCAAACATTATGTCATAGATCCGCTTAACCCACCTCTTCATCAACCTTATCTTGACTAGATTTCTCTTCCTCTGTTCTCTGGGCCGCTCGTTCAATTGCCTGTAAAATATTAATTTACAAAATGTGAAGGTTGTTAATATTCTAAATCAAATACCATAACATTTTAAAATTGTTTAATGGCAGGATTGATAAAATAAAAGCATATAGTGACATCTAGTGGCCAATAAATGCAGTACCATGTCATGCATTTTTATATTTAACTATACAAACTTTAAAAAAAAAACTGTCGAAATGCCAAATAAACCATGCAGATTGTAGAACAACTCAAAAGCGAGGTGATCATTACTCTTACAATAGAAACATATAATAGGTGTTACTCATGTGTGAATTTGAGTACCACAATATCTTCCTCTGAAAATATCACAGCAATTCCACCCACTACAGTACAATGCATCTTTTTTCACTTGTCCCCTACTGATTGTGAGTCACAAGCAAATGCCCACAGCTGTACAGTCTAGAGGTAAAACATTAGCATCTTCCCTGGATGGTATTAAAGGTGTAGTCAGGAATCACCACAGACTCCGATAGTTTGAGTAAGTTAGTAAAAGTATGAGGCTGCACTGTTCCCATCTGATCCCCATTTGCAAGCAGTACTACATACAGAACATACAACCACATCTCAAATGCTGCTCGTGACAGATTCCAATTTGTAATGCAGGTAAATGCCGAGACCAATCTGGAGTCTGGAGGCACTAAGTTACCATATACAGCAAATAGACGATCAAGCATGAGGTTGATAATTTATTACATATTGCACTACCCTGCTAAATTTGTTGGTGCTTTATAAATAATATATATTTTGTTTTAAAAATTATTTGCCAGTTGCAGCTCATACACCCTCCTAATCCTTCCTACTTCGATTGGTAGCCCATTCATCCTCTTTACAGTTCTGTTTTCTGATTGTTTAGGAGTTCTCTTCCTGTTTCCCAGTGAGTAGGAAGACCTCATTGTGGTGCAGAACGGTGTTAGTGCAAACACTTTAATGCGCTGCATGAAGTCTCAATCCATACAGTTCTGTGCAGTTACCCCTGCAGGATGTCACCCCACATATAAATTACAGTGTGGGCAGCACAGAGCACTACATAATGCACGCTTTTGATTCCTACCCGCAACAGTTTGATCCTAGAACCAACAACAAGCAACTACTGCCTTATTCTCCACTCAGGACTGATGCCATTAAAATATACCATTTTTGAGAACCTAGTCATATCAGTGACTGAAATATATTCCTGTATACGTGTAAAGCAAATGGTAAGCCAATATTACCTTATCTAAATATGCATCCATGTTGTCCTCTGTAATTGAAGGATCAATGATAAACTCAAACAGCTCTCGAACAGTCATTACTGCAACACCATACTTCACAAAGAAATCTGTCACCAAAGAAACAACCATTCGCATTACTTAAATTAACGATATATATATAAGTAGCTAAAAGGACATGCGAGATGCTAGAATTGTTAACATGCTATAGACAATATATGTAATTATCATCTTTGTATGTAATGGCTTTCCCAATAAATACAAAATGGGATATGGACACTTAACTTAAATGTACATTTACATGTCCATCAAAGATTACAATCTAAGACAGTTAAGTGTCCATATCTATTTTTATTTTTTGCACACACAAATTTGTACTATTGTTGCACTTTAAAGGCATACAGCGCTCCACTGTTTTTTATTGACATTTCACGATTTTGTGTGTTTTTGAAGGATTGCACATTCAGTGTGGTAGCAGCTGCAAACAAATTTAGGATTTTATATTGTTTTATATTATTACTGAACACCTAACTTTTATTGTTTAAAACATAACATTCAAAAACTAAGAGCTATATATATTTAAAAAAAAAAAAAAAAAGTTTCTATTTCTTAGATTTTGATTGCCATACTTCAAATCTTCCCTGTTAACTCTATGCTCCTGATCATGACGGCTTTCAGGGGTAAGACCACCTTACTACACTCTTCACAGTTACTACAGGATTCTGGGGAACAACACTAACTTATTTTAAGGGGTCACAAACTCCTCCCTCACCACATACAATACAAATAAAAAAACAAACATATAATAATCAGGAAATAAAAAGACTTGTAAGAATCTGCAATCAAAGTATCACCCGAAGAAACAGGTGGAGCAGGGTTTTATTATCTAAATGTTGCTTAAACTGGATCAGGGTACAGTGCACCAACCCCTAAATGTACAATAATATTAATATCTAACTAAAAATAAGCAAGTTAGCCAGCAGCAGCTAGAATAGGTAAAATATACACCACGAAAAATAATTTAGTTAAAAATAATATAGTTAATATAATAAATATAGTTTGTACTACTGACAACACTTGAAAATGAACTTAAAAATAAATGTCCCAGATAGCAAAACCCTAAAGTAAAAAAATAAGATTCAAAACAAATGTGGCAGTTAGGATCTGAATAATGTTGCAACATACAATGTTGCAGCAATGTGACAGCAAGATGTTAATGTTGTAACAGTCCGACCTTCTTGCTTCATTTTATAGTACTATTATTTATAGATGAGAGTAGCAGATCCTCAATATAGTGATATGGGAGAATGAAAATATACAATTTTTATATTTTACCTATTCTAGATATCACCCTCTAGCTATGTTGCTAATTTTTAGTTAGATAATATTACAATTAATAACATGTTGATTTTTTTTAGTGTTGTGTTTGATCAGCTAAGACTTTAGATGGCAATATCTAAGGCTATCAGCAGTTACTGCTCTATCTCCCTGTGATGATGGGTTGTCTTACAATGCCTAACTCAATGCCGAGCATCCGTCACTGCAATACAATAAAATACAATGTAATTGTGGCAAACAACTGCCTTGTTAAACAGAGTCTAGATATTAAAAGGTAAATGGATATATTAAACAATAATCTGTAAATAGCTAAATAATTGTGTCAGGGATTATGCTGGTTTTGGAGAACATATTACCTTCTAACGACAACCAACAATTGGCAAAAGATTACAGGAGTTGAAGTAAAAATAAATACACTGGGCCTATATTGGTCAGCCCTACCTCTTGCTGCTTTAAAAAATAAATAAATTTAAAAAAAGACTTTGGTCCCAAATTTATTTTACTACACAATGGCAATGCATTAATGACAGGTCGGTTTTATTTCTTTCATAGCAAAAAGAAAAAAAAAAAGTCCAGTTTTACCATTTACATTTGCACAGTCTTTCCGAAGGAACTCTAGAGCATGTGGGTGATCATGCTCCACAGACTGTGAGACATCAATTATAAACACTTTTCCATTGTTATACCTAAAAAAAAATTGTAATAATGGAATTAATGAATTGAGCAAAAAAAAAAAAAACAGACTAATGAGTAAATGCAATATACAATCACTGAAACAATGATTACGATCATATCTAGGGATTTTTATTGGCATTTATCTAGCGCAAACTTATTCCACAGTGTTACATAATATTCTAAAGGGGGAGATTTAGAGTATCTCACAAGAGTGAGTACACCCCTCACATTTTTGTAAATATTTTATTATCTTTTCTTGTGACAACACTGAAGACATGACAATCTTCTACCATGTAAAGTAGTAAGTGTACAGCCTGTATAACAGTGTAAATTTGCTGTCCCCACAAAATAACTCAACACACAGCCATTAATGTCTAAACCGTTGGCAACAAAAAGTGAGTGCACCCCTAAGTGGAAATAATATATTGTGTTTGTTGTGTTTTTATATATTACAATAAAGTATATTTGTCTTCTGGTTCCTGAAACTTCAATTGTGGAGAAATACTTCGCTGGGACCATCTACACAACACTAGTCTGAGTGGGGATATCATATCTACGGAGTTCAGAGCCGACCTATAGGGCTCTGAAATATGTGAGTATCCTTTGTATCTTTTGCACGGATACCACTTTATACAGTCTGGGCTGTCGTTTTTATGTTTTTATTAACAGGTTTAACCTCAACTACCACTGCTTTTGTGATTAACCCTTAACAGTTGTGCGCTATCACCTTACTTTTCTCAAAGATCTTTAGAAATACTTGACTGGAGCACAAATATAGCAATAAATCCTGCCTAAGAGCAGGATACTCCTGAACAAATAGTGAAAACAGCAAGATGAAGTGTTAAAACATTTGCAGGTCCATAAATACATTTCTGATGGCATGTTACTTACAGCATATTGAATTCACTAAGATCGGCATGCACGAGTCTCGCATCTTGGTACATTCTTCTCATGTAATGTATAACATCCAAATAGAGCTCCCGGGCTTTGGATTCAGATATCTGAGCATTCTTCAGAAGTGGAGCAGGACTGAAGTAAGAAACAGGAATTGGATGTAACCCAGATATTAACTTTAACAAAATGCATTTTTGACACATATTCTATGGGCAATAGAATTATATTGAAAAGCGTATGTGGTGTCACTCACAAATCAAGAGTCATAATCCCATATAACACCACATACGCTTTTCAATATAATTATATTGGCTACAACAATATTGCACTATTCTGTGTCTTTGTATTTATATAATTACAGATACCGTCAGAACGTGTATATGAAGCTCCACCTTATGTATGTATGTTTTCTATGTATCTTGCAGAGGTGGTTTAGGGGATACCACTCAAGGTGTTAGAGCTTCACCGTTAAACTCCTTATTGTGCACTTTTTAAATTTAGGATGTATATTACATACATATGTTAACGTTTTCGGGTAATAGTTTACTTAGTTGATGAGCTTATTTCCAAGTCACTTTTGTTCTCTTCAGCAAATTACTTATCTAAACATTAGTTTTAAACATTATATTAGTTTTTGTTTTTTAAATATATATATTACAATTATATTGAGACTCCCCATTGGTAAATTGCTAAATATATTATTATTTATATAGTGCCAGCAAATTCCGTAGCGCTGTACAATGGGTGTACTGACAAACACATAATTGTAACCAGACAAAATGCACACAAAGGGTATAAGTAGGGGTAATGAAATAGGTTGCTAGAAAAGTGTTGCTAGAAAACTTAAGTGTCAGTCATCACAAATGGGTTGTAACAAGCTATGACAAAGGGCAGGAAGACAATTTCACCTAGAAAACTTACAATACAGGAACCCATGGATTATTGCTCCTGAAACATAAAGTATTCCATACACATCTGATGGGACTGCTGACTGAATTACTTCTAGAACAACATAACCCTAAAAGTTAAGACATTACAAAACAGCCAAACTGGGTAAAAAGTAATCCATGCTCTCAGCTTAGCTATTCCTAACCCAAACCTGAAAGCCAGGCTGAATTCATCAGGAAGAATTGAAATGTCGACTTTTTGCATGTATATTGAATAAATTGAATTACATAAGAAGTATATGCTTACCTATCTTGGCGCAGTATTGATTTTATGGCAGAGCACCGGGTAATACATAATTTTTTACAATTGCAGTGCAAGGCTTTTCTTGGAGATATATGTTAAGGCTTTGCCTGGCATCGTGGGAGTGGCTTAAATTACCTTTTTAAGGGAACTCTTCACCTTCCTTTGCACAGTTTTTGGTCTAGCAATTTACATGTCCCCTCACTCCACTCCCTCTAGTCACTCTATATACCTTTACTCACACTTTTTGGGTGGGCCCTCTATATTTACAGGCCTACTGCATCATCGGTTCAGGCACACCACAATCAACTTTTTCCTTTCTTTAATCACGCTATTCCTAACTTTTTCACTATCACTCTTTACAGCCTTTTTTGCCCCTAAAACATATATATATGATTAGAAAATATATGTCCCCATGTGGATAACACAAAGTAAACTTGCAAAATCTTTACTCTAGAACCAGTCCATATGTGATAGCATAAATACTTTAGATTGATAACATCCTATGCTAGCAAACTAGTCGGAGGAGCTTTAATGAAGTCACTTAGAATTTTAACACCTTAAGGCTTAATGACTGTGCATGATGTCATGACAATCTGTTTCCCTAAAACCAGAATGTACCATCGAAACAAAAATTGCTTTGTGTGTGAGCAGATGCAACACTCATGGACAATCTCCATGTGATCCACAAACAGAGTAATGCAATAAAATGCATTTATATTTTAAAAATTTTAAATCCTGTTCAGGTGAAACACGTTTCCAGGGGATTCACAAACTCTATAGTATTTTTCTTTTTTATTCTTGTTACTTTGTTTTTAATTATATTTTATTAAAAATATTGTCAAGTTGGGACCCTATCCTGTAGCACCCTGATTCCTGTATAACAGATATATCCAATAAGGATGTGTCAACCTGATTTGCACTAAAACTTTTTACCTGGAGCATTGTACATTTAGCCTCCTGCAACTGTGAGCAAGGCATTATAAGATCCTACAAATGCATGCCTAAGCATACTGCACAAGGTTGCTTTGTATTTTTTTTTCTTTGGAGAGTGTTATAGTCACTTGTAACGCTCCACTCACACTTTTATTTAGGTGGAATCACCAGATTACTGTATTGTTTTTTTGAATTCTGAATAAAAGGGTTGCATGATGTCCAAGAACTTAATGAGCATGGCATCCTGTGCTGTCAAACAGCATCTTGGAACCCAAGTGGCATGCCGACAGAGCAAAGCCTAGTCCCCAAACTGTCAAAGATTACAGGACAGTAAAATAAATAGGTTAAGAAGTGTGTTATGTTAATAATGGATCACCAGGAAGTGGATTGTAAATTATTGAATTATCATATGCCATAAACCGCTGCCTAGGTGTTCAGTACATTGCATTAGTTTGACTTATGAGCAGACCTAAATGTTTGCACAAACTAACAGATACAGATGATTAAGGGGTTGACGTGAGGCAGGATTTGCCAGAAAGCTTTACTAACTCTGTAAGCTTTGACTCAAGCTGAGATGAAGCAAACATGGAATCTGGTATTATTTTGAAAAGTGACTCACGTGTCTTTTTTACCAATGAAATCCATAAGGAGCACATGGCTTCTTAGCATGATAGGCTCTGGGCACGGAATTCCCGCTGTGTTCAGCCTGCAAAGAAAATCAATCAAGAAAAGAAATCCAGACTGGAAGAAAAATAAAGAAAATCTGGAGATGTATCTATATATTATACAAAATTACTGTAACTAGAAAGGATCTGACGTATTTGCACTTGTGCATTACAGATCATCACTGACACATACAGCTGGATCAATCCAAAATTAACAGCCTCATAGATCATATGGAATGAATGCATGAAGTGTGTAACAAATATTGTTAATGGTCTGGAAATTAAGCAATTAATCTGTTTTCCGTTCTGGTTGACTCATTTCTAGTACTGTAATTTGCTATTACTAAATAGATTTTTACGGCAAATGTAAATCCAGTTTGCTCAACCTTACATGCATATTTCTTAGAGAAAAGCTCAGATTTGAGATGGAAGAATTTAAGTAGTGAAGTTGCTAGTTAAAAAAAAAACAAAAAAAAAACGTTGCAAATGGAAATATAACATTTATGGTGGTTTTGTCCCTTCCTAAAACGATTTTGAAACTCTGGTCAAAAACAAATTCAGAATACAGTACAATAGGTATAAATCTCCCATTTAATATTGACATTATTAGGATATTTACCCTTCATATCTTCAAAGATCACACAGTTTTTTTAATTTATGCTAACCACAGTTAAATTAAAGAAATCATCTTCTATGCCCACTATCTCTAAAGTATTACAGGATCTAGAACAGACTAGGATGATGGGACATATAGGCTGTCATAGAAATTATTCTGATTCAATTGGTTTAAAAAGGTACGGGGTCTGTTATTAGACTCTCTTCAAACTTTGTCCCATCATACTATGGGAAGAGAAGAAGAAAGGAAAAGAGAGAGAAAAAAAAAAAAAAAAAGAGGAGCAGAAAGAGAAGATGAGAAAAATTACCTTCACCAACCTGTCCCTCTTCCCTACTTTCCCTGCCTTTTTATTATTGAGTGTTACAGTTTGTTTTTTGGTCTATTTAGAGAAATAATGAATACTGTACTCTTTATTGCGTAATCCTAATTTTATAATAAACATTTAATAAAATGAATTACAAAAAAAGAACAATGAAAATTTAGAGGACACTTCTTACCTTATTAAATTTCTCATTTCTTTTTCTGCCCAAGTTTTCACCATTTTTCTGGGGTTTCCCTTGCAGTAGCCATGCCGAAATCTAAAACAAGCAAAACAAGTGTCTAATCAAAAGTAGGACTTTGCTGGTATATCTGTACACTTAAGTCATCTTTGATTGCCATAGTACTAAGAAACTCTGTGGATGTTCACTGCATAGCAGACAGGTAAACTAATATAATAATAATATGGCATAATGGGTTTTATTTTGGTTGCAAAACAAGGAGGAATGCAGATGATGGCATGAAACTTACCTAGACACAAATGTATGGTTAAATAGCATTGAATGAATACCAAATTAACCTTTCATCTCTTTAAGTACATTATAATAGTAATAAAGTCAGCCATAACAAAGCAAAGATTGATTACTCCCATTATGGTCAATTCACATGACTGGGGTGCCTTCTCACCTGAACTCCCCACTAACATATTTATCACGATCTTTAAACATCAAAATTGAAGTTTTGTATATCTTGATTGCTCTGCTTTCACCGCTGGAAGTACTTGCATGGTAAACATTGGCCTAAAACAAAAATTAACAGAAAAATTTAACACGAAACATATAGAACTAATAGATTACAGACTAGGTTAGGTTGCTTCATTTTGCCCTCTCTAGGTTTTAGAATTTTTTAATGAACAATTAAATATAATCTCTTGAGGGCTGTGACTGTGTGTTGTTACATGAATCAGGCCTTTAAAGAGCTGACTTTGCATGTCCGACTCATTTGGAGGAAGCAGGGTGGTTTCAGGATAATGATGTTGAAAAAGCAGAAAATCTCATGTTGGCATAGCAGCTCCGCAAAACAAATCGTATTGGCACAGAACGATAAATTAAACGAATCAATTACTTATAGCTTCAAGTGAAAAGAAAAAAAAAATAAATCTTATTACCGATATCTATTACACATTTTTATACTTGTAAAAGTAATGAAAATTGTTCACGTAAGAAATATTACATGTACTTACAATAAACTGAGCGATAAAAATGCAAGAGGAGAACAGGAGTTCTGTAAAGAACCATTAATGGAAACTCAAATGGAAATAAAACTATTTAAATTTAACAATTTAGTAGATACACCTAAAGTGAAAACATGCATGCATTTAATTATACATTTTTTCATTGGGTGTATCTAAGAATAGAGTGCAAAAGCTGCAGGTCTTTTGTCTTCAGCATTTGCAAGCCCTCTCCTTCTACCTAAGCCCAGAAATTCTGTGGCTATCCAATCACAGACTTCCCAATGCAGCTCATAGATAGTTTTTTGCAAGGCAGGTGCTCTGGGCACTTGCCTGTCTCTTGAGTTATCTCCACTGAGCTAAACTACTAGGAAGTTACATAACTGGTTGTCTGATTGACAGTCAGGGGGTGTAACAAGGTTAATTCATAAAAGTGCAATATCTATTGAAATCTGTACTATTAGTGAATATAAAATAAAAAAAATAGTGTTTTGCGTGTGTGTGTGTGTATTGAAGACTTTTGGGGAACATAGTGAGCAAAGGACAATGTTGGGAAAAAAACAAAAGTACAACATTACTACCTACATAGTGTTAAATGTCTTAAATGAGAAGGATAAAATATAACTTAATATATATTGTTATTTAAAATATCAAAAAGTAGAAAAAAATAACAAAAAGGAAGTGAAGATAAAAACAATACAGGAGAAAGGTCTTTGCTGCTTTTACAGTTGTAACTTAATTCAGGGGGCTATATTAGTCACGTTAAATCATAATGAACCGTAGTTTATGTGCTTAGTGGATTAGTGCTGAAGTACATATTGTACATGACATATCGTTCAGCTAATTGATAACACTGTAGTATATAGTAGTGGTTTAACATAATCTGTAGAATGATAAGGGGGAAAAAACAGAATGGCAAGGAAGTGGTTACTGCCACTTGTTTTCTCAATCGGCGTATAGTAGCCAATTATGAGGCAAGTATTTAGCAATAAATTGCTGCTAATGTTACTATGAGGGTATGGTTGCCGTTATACAGGGTTCTTGCAAAGCAAAGTGTAAGACCGTTGGTTGCTAATAATTCACGTTGCTCTATCTATATATAATTATTATGCAGAATTCAAGCAAAGAGACTGTGACACCCGTACAAGATAGATACAAAGAAGTACAAAGTATTTAAACAATGAATTACTGTTACTTTAGTCTGATAACAGGTACTGTACTAATAAGGAGAGCAGGGAGAGTATTCGAGACCACCCATGCTCCTAAATAAAAAAATAATGAGGATACAAAAGGAAAAAATAATAATTACGATAAAACTGCACAGAAGGAAATAACTAATTAATAAGTCACTAGTGCCTTCGAGGGCACCCCTTAACAAAAAGTCTGCTCTGAAGTAATACCCCCCTCACAGAAAACATACTATCAAGATGGTTTGTCACTAGTGACTACGAGGGCACCCCTTAGCAAAAAGCCTACCCTGAACCCCCCTTAAGAATTGAAAAATACAAATAAAGTAAAAAAGGGGTATAGCAAAGAGGAAAATATTTCCCATGCGATATGGGAATCTCTTATGAGACTGAACACTGTGAGACAATAGTGTCGGTTATGCCGTTGGTCCGAGCGGTTTGTAAAGAGCCGGCACTGCTATTGTGCCTAATATGCGTTCAGAGCTCCTTATTAGTACAGTACCTGTTATGAGACTAAAATATCACTAAGTAACAGTAATTCATTGTTTAAATACTTTGTACTTCTTTGTATCTATCTTGTATGGTTGTCACAGTCTCTTTGCATGAATTCTGCATAATTATATAAAGATAGAGCAACGTGAATTATTAGCAACCAACACTTTGCTTTGCAAGAAGCCTGTATAACGGCAACCATACCCTCATAGTAACACTAGCAGCAATTTATTGCTAAATACTTGCCTCATTATTGGCTACTATACTCCGATTAAGAAAACAAGTCGCAGTAACCCCTTGCTTCCCATTCTACACAGTGTTATCAAATAGCTGAATCTTATGATATATGTCATGTGCAGTATGTACTTCAGCCCTAATCCACTGAGCACATAATTCAGGGGGCTATATTAGTCATGTTAAATCATAACGAACCATAGTTTAAGATACAACTGTAAAAGCAGCAAAGAACTTTCTCCTATATTGTTTTTATCTTCACTTCCTTTTTGCTATTTTTTTCTACTTTTTGATATTTTAAATAATATATATTTAAAGTTATATTTTATCACTCATTTAAGACATTTAACACTATGTAGGTAGTAATGTACCCTTTTTGTATTTTTTTCAATATTGCAATTCACTATTTATCCCCCATTTTTCTACATTCTACCCTATAAAAGTGTTGTACCTTAAGGCTCTACACATTTTCTTTTAATTTTTTTATTGATTCATAGTGAGCAAAGGAATTCAAAAGCACTAGACAGGGGAATTGCACCATTTTTGACCAGAATGGACATACAGGAAACAAACAAACATTCTCAAGCTCTGCTATTTTAGTCCAAAAAATTTAATTCCCTGCTTATTCTCTAAAATTCCCATCCCAGTGAATAACCTTGCTGACTTTGTATTTCATGGTTCAAACCATGAGGATACAGAAAAAGAAAGTCAAACACAACTTGATGAGTAACTTGCCTCTTTTCCTGTGCTGATACAACCATTAATTTCTGATATAACACCTCTTGTAAGCATCTTGAAGAGAATCATCCGAGTCCTTGGATCCAAAACCTTACAAACAAATAGATCGTTAAACCCCGTAATTAAAGCAGTTAACTAAACAGAGATCCAGCATTTATATTTCAAACCTGTAAACAAAAGGATATCCTCACATATGAAGTTGTAAATTGGCTGTCTAATACACAGGTTACTGGCAAGTCAGCATTTTACTAAGGAAAAAAGTAAAATAAGGTCCAAATATGGACCTTAATGTAAGAGTATATAATGTGGCTAAAGGAAAAACCCTTCAACTGAAAAAAGGGCTCCACTAAAAAGTCCCTTTAAGTGCAATGAAAAAATAAAATATCAGATAAAATCCAATAAATTTCAGGAGTGGTATTCCTTTAAATTGGCAATGTATGGCGCAGATAGTAAATAACTTATAGAAGACAATGATAGTTTAGTCTAATACAAATTGTGCAATTTTACACCTTTGGTTTATTACCATGCATTTAGTTAAAAAATGTTTCTGAATTACGTAGAGAACATGTATAACTTTGTAATAGAAATGTCTCTATGTGGATACAATCGTCTCTTTCAGAATAGCCTATAAAAAAGACGATGTCAATCTACTTACTAAATGGGACCAACTCCTAGACAAAGGTTCTCTACTACTGATGATATTTCTTATAAATGAAAAGAAAAAAGAACTAGAACAAATGGACAAATGGACAAAGATATAAGAGAAATGAAAGAAAAATTAATTCCAGAAGTAGAAAAAGGCAATTATGCAGAACTACTAGACAAAATAGAAAGAAGAGTAAAAGATCTGGAAATTCAAGTCAAAACAACCAAATACAAAAAACTCACGAGAGATAAGGAAGATTATGATTTAGGAAGACAAAGAAATTGGAGAAAACAAACAAACATACTATCACAGAAAAGAAACCAACCATAAATCTTTTTACCATAACCAATCTCAAGAAACCAGACCAAGAAACCAAACATATCGAAATTACAACCAGAGAAACTCATCACAATCATATCAATACACACAGCGACAGCATTCTAATCAGTGGAATCAACCATTATCCCAAACCTCACATAAACATATAGAATCCTTTCTATCTTCTAGACCATTTGTATCGCCCAAGTCAAAGGTCACATTTAGAAAACAAAATTCATCACCAAAATCATTCAAACAGGTCCAACACCACCAAATAGATACTCCCACTTCACCTTTTTTAGGGACCGTCTTGGGGAGAAAACGGACAAGGATACCATCGAGGGAACCAGAAGAAGTACTAAATACTCAAAAATCACCAATTCAACAAAACAGAAAAACAACAAGAGAACAAATATCCAAATGGAGAGAATCTCCATCCCCCAAAAGAAGACAAAGAAAAGAACAAGACGGAGAAATACAAAAACACCACTATCACAATTAGATGACAATCAAACCAATGTGTTTAATCTATCCCAAAAAGTATTAAATAAAGATGAGATTTCTCTCCTTCAAAAAGGGCTCAAATTTGCCCCTAGCTCTACAAATTCACAATTTGACATTTTTATAGATTTACATAAATTAGAAAACTTACCATCAAAAAAATTTTTCTTGAGAAAGAATGTCAAACACCATCTTGTACTAATCAATATCAGCACACTTCATTACATCCTCAATCCATGTTTTACCCTGAACAGGTTAAAACAGACCATATTAGAGTTTTTGAGAAAAATATGGAGAAGGATCTTAGAACATTAAAATTAAAAGAAAATACCAAAGATAATCTCACTAAATATGAGAGAAGGGCCTTTAAAAGACTTATGGACGATGAACAAATCACTATAAGAGGGGCAGACAAAGGAGGAGGCCTGGTAGTGCTAAATACAACAGATTATAGAGCGGAAAATATCAGACTCCTCCAAGATACCCAAACATATCAGATCTTAATCAATGACCCCACTAAGGAGTTTCAAAAAGAATTACAGATATTATTAGGAGAAGGAAAAGAGAGAGGTATTTTAAACAAAAAGGAATATGACTATTTATATTGCAAATTCCCAAGAATGGCAATATTCTATCACGTGCCAAAAATTCATAAAACTCTAATAAAACCACCAGGACGCCCATTATTTCTGGCATTGGGTCTTTAACGTCCAACCTATCCGAATACGTTGACCAATTTCTCCAAACCATTGTTCCAAAATTACGATCCCATTTTATAAGATATCCAATGGGACAAAGATTTTATTTTAGTTACAGCTGATGTCACATCCCTGTATACTGTCATTGAACATCTACAGGGATGCGAGGCCATCCAATATATGCTGGCAACCTATTCAGAACTAAAAAATGATCAAATTGAGTACATTGTCAAATGTGTAGCCTTTATACTCAGCCATAACTATTTTTCGGGCAATCAACGTTACTACCTCCAGATAGAGGGCACAGCCATGGGGACCAGATTTGCGCCAAGTTATGCAAACCTATTTATGGGTAAATGGGAAGACGAACATATATGGTCCAATAACCCATTTGGCGCAAATCTGGTCTCATGGCATCGCTATATTGACGATTGTATTTTTTATTTGGAAAGGAGATACTGCAACACTTGAAAATTTTAAAGAAGACCTGAATTTTAACCCTTATAATCTTAAATTCACGTTAAATCAATCCACAGAAAAACTGGAATTTTTGGACTTAGAAATCTATGTCAAGAATAACAAATTAGAAACTAAAACATTTAGGAAAGTGGTAGCATGTAATAGCTTTATCCCCCACAACAGTTTTCATAAAAAAAGTTGGCTTAACAATATTCCATTTAGCCAATTTAGGAGAATTAAAAGAAATTGTTCAGAACCCAATATTTGTGATGAACAAACTACAAACATGTTATCACAATTTCAAGCTAAAGGCTATTCAACAAACATACTCAATGAAGCCCTATCCAAAACCTCAAGCTTGACAAGAGAACAAATTTTAGCAACAAAATCAAAAACTACTAACACCAATTCAGAAGCTCCGGCGTTTATAACCAGATATAATAATCACACTCAGGAATTCAAAAAAATTTTACAAAAAAAATTGGAGCATACTAAAAGGTGATCCTCAATTAGATCTAATACTAGAAAATAAGCCTAGGATAATATACTCCAGAGCTCCAAATTTAAGTCTACTACTAGCCCCTACCACCAAACAAGAAAAATCACAAGAAAATACCAACATCATTCCAAAAAAATCTTCAGGTTTTTGGAAATGTGGAAGATGCCAAGCTTGCAAAAATAATCCAAATCAACCAACCAAAACAACACAATTCGCTCATCCCCAAACACAAGATTTATTTAAAATTAAATCACAACTAACATGTAACACCACTGGCGTAATTTATTTGTTAAAATGCCCCTGTGAGAAACTATACATAGGGCGCACTAAAAGAGCATTTAAAACAAGAATGGGAGAACATATTAGGAATATTAAAAATGAACTTCACTCACACAATCTCTCAAAACACTTTGATGTTATACATATGAGAAATCCTGGAGGCCTTACATTTATGGCAATACAAAAAGTAAACACCCCATGGAGAGGAGGCGATTTAAATAAAGAATTAGATAAAGCAGAAGCAAGCTGGATATTCAAACTAGATACATTAGAACCAAAAGGACTTAATGTGGATTTTGAGTTGCGAGCATTCCTATAGAATTATCACATTTTTTAAATTTTTTATCTTTTTATTCTTAAACATGTTTTTATTTAAAAATTTTTACTTTTAAAATAATATTCTGTATTCACACAAATATATTTATTTTTATCCTTTTTTATTGTCCATCTCCATACTATTGATGAAGTTTCTCTCCAAATTAGAAGTCTTTATTTCTATTTGTACATTTATATTTTGTACAATTTTTGCACATCTTTTTAAAGGATTTATGTTACTGTTTTTTAATATGTTACTATATGTAAATATCATTATACTATATTATTTTTTAATGAAGTATTTTTTAATGATGTATTAAATTTTCTAATAATTTCTTATAATTTTTTCTTATAAAAATCTGTTTATATTATGAAATGTATTTTTTAAAGATTGAGTTTATCAAAAAGATTATATGTGTACACTATTAAAACAATTTTAATCACTAGAGCAAGTATGGACTTAAGCCTCAAAGGGTTAATATAAGCCAAAGCAGCAACCGGCTATTTAAACCCGTGGGCTTCTCTTGCTCAATATCCTCTGATGAAGTGAGCATTGCACTCACGAAACGCGTAAGGACTTTATCACTTTGTGGCACCTATCGCAAAGAAGACCGGGCTTCACTTGGAACGCATGGAGATCGGTGACACGCACGCGGCTATCAACAGGTCCATTCATCTGCCGGCGGACCGAAAAGAACAAGCTGCAAACGCCGGACTCTCCAGATTCCAGTTAAGCATATAGATTATTTGCATTATTGTAAGTGCACATCCTTTTCTCTTTTATTTGATTCAATAAATGGATTTCAATGCACACAGCACCTCGGATTTCGTTTCACTTTCTGAGAAAAATACGGAACTTATCTACTAAACTACAGATCATCAACTATGATCTGTTAGTCACTACTATATTATATATTAAGTACATTTAATTGTATATTACACTGCAACACTTGCCTATATATATAATTTTGTACTATATCAATTCAGCTTATTCAGCTAAACATTCCAGTTTGATCATAACAGGAAATAGCTGTAACAGCTCACATATCACAGACTATTGTGTTATTCTGAAAGAGACGATTGTATCCACATAGAGACATTTCTATTACAAAGTTATACATGTTCTCTACGTAATTCAGAAACATTTTTTAACTAAATGCATGGTAATAAACCAAAAGGTGTAAAATTGCACAATTTGTATTAGACTAAACTAGCATTTTACTAAGGACTAAAAATTATCCAGTAGTGCAATGTTGTATAAGTAGAGCAATCAGAAATAGAACGTACCAGCTGATCCCAACTGCCCCATGCCAATTGCTCACTTTTAACATTCTGCCCTATTAAGAAACTACTGCAACTCCAAACCTCCATAGAAATATGGAGGTAAAAACAATAAATTGAAAATTCATGGAGTGAAAATTAACCATTAGCACAAGTAGAGCAATAGAATAAACCTTATTGGTATAAAATAAAAACATACAAACCTGTTCCACAGTTGCTCTGTCAGATTTATCTTTAACTCGATATCTGATAATAAACAAGAGAAAGATTATGTAAACAATTTCATTTCTTCAAAAACTCTCTTCCTAAAGAAAATAAGAGCCTTAAGAAAATGAAGCTTTGATGAGGTGATAGTTAAATAAAATGAATTTAGGCCAAATAGTGTATTTGAGAGGAAAACATAAAAACGAAAAACCCGTCAACACTATGATATTGTTCTCAGCTGAGAGGGTTGGAAGGTCCGAGAGCCCCTTCTCAGGATCTGCACAAGTTCTCAAGCGAAATAATTGATGAATGATGATGAAAAATTACTACACAAATAGTGAAGTGAAGAGAGTCACTGATGGTGTATCTTGATGTAGATAATGTAAATTGTACAAACTAGAATCACCTCCAGCACCCTGCTTAGTATTGTTTTAAAGGAATACTCCAAGCATGCTGTAGTGATTATGGTTCAAGGAATGCCCTTGTGCCTACCAAATGTAAGCAGTCAAATCTTTTTACAATGATTTGAACTCCTACCTGGGGTCTACCAGTTGTAGCTCCCCCACGTCTCTTCAGCTCTGAGCTAGAAGCACCTACTAGTGCAAGTCCGGCTTAACAGTTTTACTACTTACAGGGCATTTGTGATTTGCACATCCATCATAGATGGTACTATTATTTCACTCAAGCAGGAAATGGAAGTAGCCCTGCTACACAAAAAGAATAAGGACTGTACCGTCAATAATTTCATGTTTGGATGATTAATTGAATAGAAACAGATACTTGCACACCTTATAGATGTTTTCCCCCAATGTGCATTCTAGCATTCAAGGTGTGCTCAATATCTATTTTTCAATCCAAGTAATCTTTTTCAATCAATACAATAAGGTGCGCTCACTGTTTCTATTCAAATCAGTTCTTCTGACAATTTAACCCTAAATGTGCAACATTAAAAGGGGTCTAATCCTTGAGAACAATATTATAGGTTTAAGTAGTAAAAGGGTAGACTCACGTATCTGCATCGTTGTGCCTAGATTTTTCAGTGACTTTATTCATCACAGAATCCGAAAGATTTAGTTTACCTGAAAGACAGAACACAGTAATTTAGCTCAATGTTGTATAGATAAAGAATAATTTATTTATTTTTTACACATTTTGCCAAGTTCAATAGAACGAATAGTTGTACAATACTAGTGAACAATTCACATTAACAAACTTCTGAAAATAGACACAGAATTCATTAGGTTGCATAAAATATAAACATACATATTTATATTGAACAATGAAATATTAAGAAAACACAGATGCCACAGAAAAAGAGTGAGTGTGGCTCTGACAGCTGCAGCAACCCAGATTCAATCTGGGTCATAACATGCTCTACATGTTTAATATAACATAGCTGTGAGATATCACCATGCTTTTTGACTTTATTTCAGAACATGATATGTTCTCAATTTTTTTTTTTTTGGTAAATCTTTTTAAGATGTTTTCCATGTTGTAACAAGCATTTAGTCGGTAAACAGTGTGAAACACGCAGGTTTCTGATGTTTGTAGGAGCATACAGTATTTTGAGATATGCAGATCTCTGCGGAAGCTTTAATTGGGAGACTCGCAGGTCTCTTGGCAAGGTATGTATCTTGTTTACGGCCTTCAAAAGCTGGTTTGTAAGTCATCATTACCAATTTTAGGATGGTTGTCTTTAGTAGTTTACCTTTCGGGTTAACAGTGTGCAGATGTTGTGTTGCTATTTGCTCCTCTGTTAGCCTAGGGTTGTATGCTTAGGTTTTGCTATCGTCACAGTCTCAATGGTTGTTGGTGCAGTTAATTCTCTCGTGTCGTAGGGCTGTATGTGGCTCCAATTATTTTTTGACGCAGCAACTCTGTCCTGAAGTCCATCTCACCAATGAATTTCATACATCCTTCTAGCAATTGCCAGATAACATTAAAAAGAACCCCCTACTCTTTTCTTCCATTAAAGCTTGAAGGATCCAACTCAACCTTAACTGTATAATATAAATATTGTTCTAATTATTTGTTAACTATAGAATATTTTAGTTATTTGTTCTTACATATTATGTAATTTTTTAAATGCAAATTCAATATGGTTTTTGGAAAAGCAACTCCAACACCTGCCATGTTATTCTATATTATTAAAACAATAAAATGTCTTTAGGAAAAAAAAAAAATCTTTATAGAGTCTTGCTGGGAAAACCCACTTATTTGGGGAGTAAAAAAAACTTCTGTAAAAACTGCCCATTATCCATATTGTTGCAAAAGAATTGGGTTAAAAAAAAAATAAAAAAAAAAAATAAAAAAAAATAAAAAAAGTTTGTATTGCATAGTAAAATACTAAAGAATAAGTTGTCCTCTTTTAATTAATCTGTTGATATAAAGAAAAACCAAATCCGTAATTCAGGCTATTCTGGCATCTTAGTTACATGACTAAATTTATTTGTATTTTAAATAAGTTTTTCCCGAACTTAACTGCTCACTTTAGGACTGTGAAATAAACTAGTGAAGGCTGGTGAAGTTTCATGATGGTATTTCATTAAACTCTACCCCTTGAACTTGACTGTCCCCACCTATTGGATTCTGACCCACTTAGATGTACTGAGAGACGCCATGTCCTTTTCAACGTGATTGGCTTATGCTTGCATTGCACAAAACAATAATAATAAGCTTATATAGAACATATGCATTAATTCATTAAAATCAGAACTGCAATTGAAAGTTGAATGGCAAAGCTTAAGACAAATAATCAAGCTATGATTATAGTAAAGTTAACGAGGTCTCCAAACCAGCTAGCTACTTTTGCCTACATTTTGCAATTTCTATTACAATTTTCTGCAGTTTGGAGTTTAGTGCTTAATATGGAACCTCAAATGTAGTGCCATTTAGAGTAAAAATTGACATAGCAGCACAATAGACAAACAATGCTTAGTTGGTATTGTGTATTGAAATGTAATCCATATTTGGAAGAAAAAGAGGGGGCTGCCCTAACACCACTATAGACCAGTCTTCATACAGTCTAGACCGTATTACAGTACCATTATAGAGCACAGGTAGGCAAGGCTAGGTTGGTTTGAACACATCACTAAGAAGCATCAATTAGAAGCAATCTGACCAAGAATGATGTTAAAGGCGACAAGCTGGAGACAGATAAGCTAACTGCAAATGACCTGGAATTAAGTGTCACAACTAGTAAATTATAGAGAAAGCTGGTCTTTTGCTGACAGATTTGCAGATAATTAACATCTCAAGGAATGTAAATATTCTATAAAGAATAATTTGTAAAATTAAGTAACGTTTAGAAAGTTTTCTAAATCACCAGGTTATTCTTGAGTTTAAAAACAGAAAATCTGTGCCATGATAAAATCCTTTACAATTTAAACTCACCTAAATTAATTTTATGTTCATATTTTTGCAACACTTTGTCTGTCATTGTATAGGCTTTGGTGGAAGCACCCTGCATTCCCTGACGATTAGCCTGAAAAAAAAATAAAAAAATACATTGCTAAAATTGGATAAGTTGAAGGTAAGTTTGTATATAATGTCAGCATGGAACATAGCAGCAGTAAAAATAATTTTATAGAATTTTATCTAAAAATCAAACTAGCTGAATTGGAAATATTCTCCAATTCAACTTTACCTGCAGTTCGATTATTTTGGTTTAGAATTTGAAATTCAGTTTAATATCCTGACAAGTCACACTTTATTGCTCTGTTGGCATTAAACAAACACTGTCATCAAAAACTTTTGACACTCTTGCACATAGAAGGCTTATCAATAAACTGCAATCTTTAAAGGACCACTCTAGGCACTCAGACCACTTCAGCTTAATGAAGTGGTCTGGGTGCCAGGTCCAGCTAGGGTTAACCCATTTTTTCATAATTATAGCAGTTTCAGAGAAACTGCTATAATTATGAATGGGTTAAGCCTTCCCCCTAACCCTCTAGTGGCTGTCTCATTGACAGCCACTAGAGGCGCTTGCGTGCTTCTCACTGTGATTTTCACAGTGAGAGCACGCAAGCGTCCATAGGAAAGCATTGTAAATGTTTTCCTATGCGACGGGCTGAATGCGCATGCAGCTCTTGCCGCGCGTGCGCATTCAGCCGGCGGGGAGGATCGGAGGCGGAGAGGAGGAGGAGAGCTCTCCGCCCAGCGCTGGAAAAAGGTAAGTTTTTACCCCTTTCCAGAGCCGGGCGGGAGGGGGACCCTGAGGGTGGGGGCACCCTCAGGGCACTATAGTGCCAGGAAAACGAATATGTTTTCCTGGCACTATAGTGGTCCTTTAATTTTGGATTCCAATATTGTTGAATGGGTAAGGCAGTGGCTGAGTGACAGGCAACAGAGGGTTGTAGTTAATGGAATATATTCTAAGCATGGACTTGTCACCTGTGGGGTACCTCAGGGATCTGTACTTGGACCCATTCTCTTTAATATTTTTATTAGTGATATTGCAGAAGGTCTTGATGGTAAGGTATGTCTTTTTCCTGATGATACTAAGATATGTAACAGGGTTGATGTTCCAGGAGGGATAAGCCAAATGACAAATGATTTAGGTAAACTAGAAAAATGGTCAGAATTGTGGCAACTGACATTTAATGTGGATAAGTGCAAGATAATGCATCTTGGACGTAAAAATCCAAGGGCAGAGTACAGAATATTTGATAGAGTCCTAACCTCAACATATGAGGAAAGGGATTTAGGGGTGATTATTTCTGATGACTTAAAGGTAGGCAGACAATGTAATAGAGCAGCAGGAAATGCTAACAGAATGCTTGGTTGTATAGGGAGAGGTATTAGCAGTAGAAAGAGGGAAGTGCTCATGCCATTGTACAGAACACTGGTGAGACTTCACTTGGAGTATTGTACACAATACTGGAGACTGTATCTTCAGAAGGATATTGATACCTTAGAGAGGGTTCAGAGAAGGGCTACTAAACTGGTTCATGGATTGCGGGATAAAACTTACCAGGAACGGTTAAAGGATCTTAACATTTATAGCTTGAAAGAAAGACGAGACAGGGGGGATATGATAGAAACTTTTAAATATATAAAAAGAGAATCAACACAGTAAAGGAGGAGACTATATTTAAAAGAAGAAAAACTACCACAACAAGAGGACATAGTCTTAAATTAGAGGGACAAAGGTTTAAAAATAATATCAGGAAGTACTTTACTGAGAGGGTAGTGGATGCATGGAATAGCCTTCCAGCTGAAGTGGTAGAGGTTAACACAGTAAAGGAGTTTAAGCATGCGTGGGATAGGAATAAGGCTATCCTAACTATAAGATAAGGCTAGGGACTAATGAAAGTATTTAGAAAATTGGGCAAACTAGATGGGCCGAAGGGTTCTTATCTGCCGTCACATTCTATGTTTCTATGATCATTTACCAATGGCTAGAGAGATATCGGATAGACATTTTTACATTTACCCATATTAAAAGGAATGCACCAGTCACACAAAGCACTTTGTAGAGATATACTTTTTCCCTGATAAAAAGACGTTGCTTCACGTATTTCCTGCTTTACTAAGAAAACATTGGGTACCTGTGGATTGCACCTTCTTGTGGCTGAATAGCATTTGGTAAGATTTGTGCTGGTTTCATCCCAGTACCAATCATCATCTTCATCCAGTTCTCCTTCATCACTATCTTCCTCAAGTTCGTTACATTCATGGGGGGACAGTTCCTGTTTTCTCACAATGAAACCTTCATAACTTTCATTGAGATCACTATAAAAAAAAGAAAATATAGTGCACAATAAATCAAATTGAATATTTTAGGGACACTATAGGCATCAAAGCAACTTTAGCTTAATAAAGCAGTTATATTATTACTATTTTATAGAGCGCCTGCAAATTCCATAGCGCTGTACAATGGGTGGACTAACAGACACGTAATTGTAACCAGACAAGATGGATTCAAAGGAAGAGGGAGTGAGGGCCCTGCTCTTATACTGTATACTATAGATCATGCCCTTACATTCTCACTGTTTAATTCTGTGCCATTTAGGCAATCACTTTTGTTTCTGTTTATGTAGCACTAGTCACAACTCACCATTTTAAATTTAGATCTTAACTTACTTTACACTTGGCTCATTAACCCCTTCCCAACAAAGGGCGTGCTGTGCGGTCCTACAAAAGGAGGGCTTTAACTACATATGCCAGCAAGGCACACCCCAACAATCATGCCCTCCTCCCGTTCGGATACTTACCCTCCGTGGAGTCCATGGAGACTGCCTGACATCCCAGCCAATCGCACACATACGTGTTATGTGATCGCGATGACACCATGATTGTCAGATTCCCTGCAAGGGAGCTGACTGGGTTGTCAGCAATTTCCCAATACATAATATGTAAAACCATATAATTATGCTTAAACATATACACGTAGCATGAATGTATATTATATTTTTATATATATATATATATATATATATATATATATATATTAATATGCCAAATACCAGAGTATTGCAGTATGCAATGATATTTTTTTATTAGACAAACTTAATATTTAAAAGAAAACTTTCAAGTGTTTTCCTCTCTTTCTTAGATCTGAAGCAATACTGATCAATCTGAAATAGTTTAAACGCTGAAAACAACTAATGTTAGAGAAGGAGAGGGAAGGAGGTGAGTGGGGTGTCATAAATAGCAGAATATGGGCCTGAAAGTGAAAGGTGTAGATTGGTTGAGAATAGCCAGAAAAAGTAAATAAACACAGGAGCTTATTGACATGAAATAACATCAGTTGTTTATTTATTCGCCATTTACCCGCCCTGTGCGAAAACTCTTCACAGCGTCCGTCACTGTTTACAACTGCTCATCCATACAGTGTGTGTTTAGTGTAGTGTAGTGTTTAAATTATTTATAAAATATTTTACCAGGAAAAATACATTGAGATTTCTTTCGTTTTCAAGTATACCCTGGCCATACATAAATAGGGGGCATTATTAAATATTTTTTTATTAACAGGGCTTTACAAATTTGTTTGGAATCTATGAGCCAGCTAAAAAAGTTAGCATTTCCATTTTGTGTTAAAGCTTAATTTTCAACGAGAAAATGCACTTATTAAAGGGACACTATAGTCACCAGAACCACTACGGCTTAGTCATAGATGTGTCAATAGCCTGTACCTGTAGGCTTTTTAATGCAAACACTGGCCTTTTTGTTTTACTTTGTGTGACTCTCTACCTTTTACACACAGTTACAGGCAGACAGTGTGTACACACCCACCCACCTAGTGTGTAGTAGTTGGGGAAGCATGCAACCCAGGCAATGGGTTCAGGCCGCGTTTAATTCCGCTCACTCCCTGATTAGCTCAGACCCACTATCCATTTAGCTCCATTCCCGCTATGTGACTTGAGGCTGTCTTTTTTTGAAGCACTGCATTGCTGGCCCCTGCGTGTGGGAGCTATTTCAGCCACCTGGCGCCCTGTGTGACGGTATAGCTCACACATCCCAAAGACCAGCCCTGACCAGTTTTCCAGTTTCTTTGGGAAGTCACAGGGCCAAACATATTAGATGCTTTTTTTCAACTTGTAAAATTGACAAAGTGATTTTCTGGGCCTACGTTGCCTTTGAAGCAGTATGTAGCCCAGGAAAAAAGAAAGCCCAGTACAAGGCATCCTAAGAAAGAAAAATCATCCTCATGATGGCATACTACTTTAACAAGTATTCAAAATTAAGTATTTTGAGTTGTTTTATATAGCCACTTTGGAACGACTGGGCTTAAAGTAAACAGGGACAGGCCAAAGTCAGGGAAGGCAAAGTCAAGAAGTCAGTATAACAATTCAATAAGTCAGAAAGCCAGAATAATCAGTCACATACAAAGTAATTCAATTGTTCAACTCTGTATGGTAGACTCTGATACAGTCTGTTATCCAGAGGGCTGCTCAAGATGTGCAGGAAGGGTGGTAATAACTTGAGTCCTTTCCAACTCCTTTGTAGCAAATGTAACACTTTCTCTATGGTAACCTTTTAAAGGGTGTGAGAGGGAATCGGGGAGGAAAGTGCTTGCCACAAAGTCTGTGGACATTCTCTGATTCCAAAAAGGGATCATTGGGGGACTGAGTAAATAAAATATCGGACCAACATTTTACCTTAAAATCTAGAAATGGGTATCACTTGCCTATGACTGTTTTTTTATACAGCACACAGTAATTAACAATTTTAACCTGGCTTAAATAGAATGCAATTTTCTTGCACCAACACCTAGTTTTCCAGTTGACTAAATAAGTCTGTTTACATTGACAAGCCAAATCTACTCCCCCATATACTTGCTGTATTATATAATGCATTTTGTTTTTTCCAGCTGCTCAGTTCTTCCCCTGGCAGACAGTGGCACTGTACTTTTGTGGTGCATTGTAGACAGCATGTACACAGTTTTCTCATCTGTGTACAGAAGAGCCAGCACTTCATCCTGGTGTAGAGCTGAAGAGGAGCCTCTACTGTTTTTGCCATTGTCAGGGTTTGGGGAAAAACCTCTGTGTTTTTTACACACTGTGCCACATACTAAGGTTTGAAAACAAAATATATATATTTTAAATAAATCAATACTGATATAAAAATTATCAACCCGTAGATTATAACCTTTATTTAACAAGGGAAGGAGCAGATTTTCACACAATCTTGCTATTTGTGCCCACAGAATGAGAGCATGCTGATGGGTCAAGATGGCCATTATTTCCTTGATAAATCTGAAATGCTCATGTGTAGTCAATAGTGTATTTGCATAATTTATAGAATTTAATTACAGATCGTGACCACTTTGTTGGGATATATTGTATAAAAAGCAGTCTAACTTTAAATTTCATCAGGGATTAATCAATACAAATGTTTTGGTCTGGGATATAATTCTGGGAAAAATTGTCAGACAGGAGTTGGATAAGGGGCAGAATTCTGTACAGCCTGTCAAACAATGGGTCATTTCTAAGAAGAGGACACCATGCTGTGCCGCCATTGGCTGGCTGTCACCAGCATGCTGATAAATGCTAAACTTGCAAAGAATTCCCATTAGCCAGGCCAAGCTTTTAAACTCCAGCACCAATGATGCTGACAGGGCTGCAATCTGATCAGCCTCACTCCCAACAGCCTCAGGCACCACACTACACCCCAGGGAAGACTCCCTCCAGAAAAAGGTAGAAAACTAGAGGGTGGGTTTAAAAATGCAAGTTTTACATGTATTTCTGTCTGTGTCAGTATGTCTGCCTGTGTATCGGTGTGTGTTAGTATTTATGTCAGTATGTATATGTATCTGTGTGTGTAAGTATGTCTGTGTGTCAGTTTGTCTGCCGGTGCGCATGTCTATGCCTGACAGTATATGTGTCAGTGTATCTGCATGTGTGTCAGATGGTATGTCTGTCAGTGTATATATCAGTATGTCTACCAGTGTATCTGCGTCAGTTTATGTGCCTCTATCTGCAAGTGTGTCAGTGTGTATATCTGCATGTGTTTCAGTGTGTCAGTTCGTATCTGTGTGTATGTGGCAGTGTATGTGCATACATCTCAGCATTGATACACCAACACTACATACAAATACACCACTGAATTCAAACTTCAACACTACATATAAACAAACATACAACTGCACTGAAACATCATCAACACTACATACAAAACACACATTTTTGTGTTAAACACCAATAATATATAAAACACACCCCTACATTCAAAAACCAACACTACACATAAATGCATGCTGGCATTCAAACGCCACATACAAACACACCCATACATTCACACAAACATAGTCCATACAAAAATATGCTTACATTCAAACACACCAATACAGCTCAGTGCTAAATACAACCCAGCAAGCACCAGCTGTCAAAGCATTGCTGGAGTTGCACGACAGATAGGGATCTACCTTCTGGCCACCCTTGCGATTGGGGGGCCTAGATAAATTCTTGCACCAGGGCTATTTCTACTTTAGTCCGTCACTGCATTGGGGTAGAGGGCTTGATTGCATGCCAGGGAGTGAGGGGGGAGGTTGCAGGGGCAGGGTCCCCGAGCAAATGCTTGACCAAGGTCCAATCAATATTAACCCCTTAAGGACCAAACTTCTGGAATAAAAAGTAATCATGACATGTCACGTGTCCTTAAGGGGTTAAAGACGGCCCTGGTCTGGGGGTATTCTAGAGACACTTCTCTCGAGCCCCAGTACAGTGTGGAATCAGACCATTGCAGTGAAGTCTCACAGAAATGCTCTGACCACCAGTGCTTGCATAAGAGAGGACTTGGCAGAGGGGAGAGCTGAGTGTTTCATTGACATTCTTAAAAGGATTCTATAGTGCCAATAGGCTCCTGCAGTGTACTCCCCCCCTCTAGTCACTTACCTGAATCCAGCGCAGAGGGACATTGGTGCTGGGTCAGGCTCCGCCCATGCGCCTCCCTCGCTGACCTAATTCATGCGCGGCAATGGATGAGCTTACATTAGTAATTCCCCCTGGGAAAGCATTCGTTATTATTCAATGCTTTCCTATGTGGAAAAATCTGACGCTGGATGTCCTCATGCAGAGTGTGAGGACGTCCAGCTTCAGATAATGGACCAAAGGTCTGTTTCGATTCCGTTAGTCCCTCTAGTGGCCTTCTGGTAGACAGCCACTAGAGGAGTTAACCCTCAAAGGTAATTATTGCAGCTGCTCAGAAACTGCAATAATTATCACTGTAGGGTTAAGGGACATGAGCTGAAGTGGTCTTGGAACCTACAGTGTCCCTTGAAACAGATTCTATAATGTGAGGAATGCAAACTTATATTTATAACACAATACTGCCCTCAGGTGTGTGTGTGCCCATGGCACATAAAGGGTTAAAAACCATTTTACTTACCTGATTCCAGCACCTATGTCCTCGGCACTCTACCTCCTCCTGCATTATTGGAATCTGGGGGACCTCATGCGCAATAAGCACATTGGGCCCTCACCATATAAAAGCATTGAATTGATGCTTTCATTTGGGGATTTCACTGACACTGCAAGAAGACATCCAATGTCATTTAAGAAATCCAAAGTATGGTAAACTCCTGTAAGTGCCTATCTTATCAATGCAATGTAAACATTGCAGTTTCTAAAAAGCTGAAATGTTTTACATTACAGGACTATGGGGGAATAGGGACATATGTATAGGCTGTTCCTCTCCCCTCATGGCAGCCCTGAGTGCATGCACCCTATCTCCTAATGTGCTCAATGAGAAAGTCAGTGAGGTGTTAATCAGTATAACGCATTCAGCAATCATGTATAATTACAGCAAGATTATAAAAGATTAATGGAGTGAGTGGCCCACTCTTCAGAATGCTCCCATCATTCTCAACTGGTAGAAGTGTGCCTGACAATCAGGGAATTCCACACAGCACTTCTGGAAAGTTTAGATTTAGTTAATGGAGCCCATGTGTGTCTCTGTGATGTGATGGGAAGATTAAACTAGCTTAGTATGTCGCTCACTATAACACAGTATTGGATTGATCTCTGTGGGGGACTCCGTGCACACACTATAAGCCATCGCTCCCACACGGTTTCCATACAATACACAGAGCTCGGCAGCAGTCACACGGTCTGAATTATAACCCGGGCAGCAGGTTTACTCCAGAGCCCGGCTGCGGCCCAGCCTGTATAGTATATTATATCACACAGACTGCCACCTGTAAGAGAATAACCCGATAATACACCCACAACCCTCAGCCAGCCAGGCCGCCACACACCGCCAACACCGCGCGGCCCGGACTGCTCACCTCTCCACGTGTGCCGGGGGGGCCGCCATCTTGTGCTGTTATGGAGTCAGCACGCCCCCTGTGGGTGGGAGTCCGGCACAGAGACCGGCTATCAGTCATGGACTGCTACTCCCATCAGTGTGAAGGGCTGTGAGAGCCCCATGATAAGGCTGCAGGTTATTAATGGCCCAGCCGGAGAGACACGGTGCATTGCTCCACCCTCTGGCACCAAATGCAATGTCTGCCAGGGATATTCACTAAAGTGAGAATTGAAAGTGAATTTCGGATGTAATTCGACAGCAGCCGAACTGGAAACACTGTCCTAGCAAGCAGCTGTGTTCACTTCGGGCACTGCCTCCTTCACTGCGAAATTCACTCCGAATTATCACTTTATTGAATAGGAGCAGCAATGCCCCTCGCTCGCCACCAGAGAGCGCTGCAGCTAAACCGCGCACTGCGCATGCGCCACCAGAGAGCGCTGCATCCTTCTGGAAATCGCGCACTGCGCATGCGCCAGGCTGCCCCGCCCCCCTCGCAGTGCGTGGTGACGTGCTCACTGTGGGCAGTCTCTATCCCTCATTACGCTTTGCGGCTGCGCAGTGCTGCGGCTCCCCGGACTGTGCAGTTTCCTGGCGGCCGACTGAGTCACAATGGCGACCTCACTGGGCTCCAACACCTACAACCGGCAGAACTGGGAGGATGCGGTGAGTATACCGGCGGCGGCACCCCCGGGGCGGCCTGTGGAAAGCTTCAATGATCGATTCAGAGCGAGATTCCCGCCATTAGGGCGACCGGGCCCAGCACTGGGAGTGATAGCCAGCCACACACGGACACACGGAGCTCACATTAAGCACTGCGTGGCCCTCACTGGCCCTGTATGGGAGTGTGCGCTTATAAGGAGACATGAGGGCTATCCCGGCTTTATTACTCCATCCATAGAGCTGTATCCATAGAGCTGACACTCTATAAACTCGCTGTGTTAGCAGAACATGTTGGGTGCCTTGTGCACAGTATGAACTAAATGTCCATTTCTCATCCCTCATAGAGCATGCTCTCTGTATGTAGCATTGCTTTTACCATAACGGAGCTGTGCTGGTAAATTGCTATATAGCAGCAGGGCAGGATATTGTGCTTCGTTGTAAACTAGTTGACTGATCAGAAAGTTAATTTTGGTTTTGTTGTTGTTATGTCTAATTAGGGTTACCAGATCACTGCATTTGCTGAAATCTCATACATTCTGCTTTTGGCTGGGAAACGTAGGGAAGTGCTCCATGCCCGGAATTAGATGTTACATGACTAATTACTGTTGTGCTTTGTGATCATCTCCATTATTTACTTCACATAAGAGGGACCTTTATTTCCACATACTTTAGGTTAGAATTTTCAAGCTTGCCTCAACAGGATTCATAATTGTTTCTTAACTTTAAAGGACCACTATAGGCACCCAGACCACTTCAGCTCAATGAAGTGGTCTGGGTGCCAGGTCCCCCTAATTTTAACCCTGCAGCTGAAAACATAGCAGTTTCTCTTAAACTGCTATGTGTCACTGCAGGGTTAATCCAGCCTCTAGGGGCTGTCTCCCTGACAGCCACTAGAGGCGCTTCCGCAGTTTACACTGAGTAAATCACACCTATTTGATGCTGGACGTCCTCATGGACCTCCAGCGTCAAAAAGATCCCATAGGAAAGCACTGAGTAATGCTTTCATATGGGCAGGTTTAAATGTGCGCTCGTCTCTGGCCGCGCATTCGGCTCCACTCAGGAGCTGACGTCGATGGAGGAGGAGAGGTCACCAGTGCCGAGGTACACAAATAAATGGTTGATTAACCATTTATTTGCTGCGGAACGAGGCTCTAGTCACCGTTTAGGTGACTAGGGCTCTTTTGCATTAGGAATACATATTTGTATTCCAAACGCTATAGTGTTCCTTTAAGTTTAAATAAAACCTATTTTTGTTAGAAATATATATGTAAAATGTAAGGCGTATTAAATGAGTACTCTAGCTCAAAATTGTAGTGATAATTGCACAAGGAGTAATCGTGTGCCTTCCTATGTTTCTTGTCCATCAGTTTCTTTCATGTTATTTATTGAGAGCTGTTCAGTTTGACACAGAATAGCAATGTATCCCAAACACTCTGTACCATAATCATTAGTGCATTGTAGTGGTTACAGGTGAAAGAGTAAGACTGGTGGACACCAGAGACTTTTTGCACCATCACAACTACAATATGTACAATGTACACGTGGCTTCCAAAACTCAAACTAGCACTGGGTAAGCAGTGGTCTTCTAGAAACTGTAGGCTAATAACACATTGGAACTGAACTAGTACTTTAGAATATGGTTCATATATCCAGTCCACGAGGTATTGCAACAGTTTCTTTCAGCATTTCTAAATGAAAGTCCTGTGCATTATACACAAACCTACTGCACACCTTGTATATAGTAAAACAAATAAGCATTATTTAATGAAGAGAAGAAACTAATCTTATTTGATATATTCACACAATAATATACAAATCACTGAGACCAGATTAATGAATGGATCAATGTAATTCAGCTATATACAGAAGAACTGATCTCATAATACTGAATTAATATTTGGGGGACACAACAAAAACAGCAAAGTCCTTGAAAGGGTAGTAATGCCGAAACATGGTTTTGGTGTCCCTTGGTCACAGTGATAAGGTAAAACACTCTATGTACATCAGTTTTCTTATTATTGATTACTTTTTCATTTTGTTTGATATGTGTGTCAAATATTCTGTATTATATTAGTTCTTATTGCTCTTCCAACTTTTTGCACACCACCCTAATTTGGTTTCATTAAGCGAGCCAGCTAAAAAAAAAAACTTGCCAGTTATTTTTTTATTTTTTTTCCAACGACCAAAAAAAAATTATTAAAAAGAACACTATAGTCACCAGAATACTACAGCTTAATGTAGTGGCTCTGGTGTCTATAGATTGTCCCTGCAGGCTTTTCAACAAAAAGACAGTGTTTACGTTGCTGCCTAGTAACACCTCTAGCGGTAGTCACTCAAACAGCCACTAAAGTGTCTCCTATCTCAGTGCTACACAATGTGCAGCACCTACATTCAGCGTATCCACGCTCTGCATAGAGGCACTGAACTTTCCACATAGAAATGCATTGAATTATTGCATCTCTATGAGGAGATGCTGATGGTAATTGATAATCTCAGCAATTGAGTCAGGTTAGCTGTGGCAAGACTGGCACAGTTTTGGGGAAATAAGGTGAGGGATAACACCATTCTCATGAATCAGAGGTGGCTGGTGACCTCAGCATACACATACTCATAGACAGTCGCACACACTGACAGAAACACACATACACTGACGCCCAGACCTACTCTCACGCACTCACAAAGTATTTATTTGATACACTCAAATAGTTACTCACAAAGATTCATAGATACACACACAGAAATTAAAAATAACAAATACATATTTTTAGCAACCCTCCTGTTTCCTACCTTTGGCCTCCCTGTGGTCCTGTGGCACTGGGCTGCAGCAAGTGACATTAGTTTTGTGGGGCTGCCTGTGGCTGATGGGAGTAGGCTTCCACGGTTCCTGAACCCCTCCTCCTTTTTCTCCAGCCTTGTGCAGATCCCTGTGCGTCGGGAGGAAGTGACTGGAACTGTAAATACTTCCTCCCGGCGTTGAGGTCTCGCAAAGGATTGGGCGGGCAGCTGGCTCTGCGGAATGGGATGGGCTGGAGGCCGGCTTCGTGGAATAGGGCAGGCTTGCAATTCCCCTGCGGGATTGTGACCGGAAGCGGGAACGGACCAACCAATTCCAGACGACAAAATTCTTAGTCTCCATGGCAACCTGGCGCCTGGGATTTGTCAAGCCCTGTTGCACGTTATTGAGTGCCATGTACTAATTATTGTCTCTTCAAAACCATATCAATTTGTATGATTTTGGTTTATTCTTTAAAAAATTAGGTATACTAATCATAGAAAAAAAAGACTTTGATATTTGCATTTTTTAGAATTATAGATGTATGCCTTTTTTTTTTTTTTAGTTTGAAATAGTTTTATTTTATGGGTGTTCTTGTAACAGTCTAGTGACTATTAAAATACATAAGGCACTTGATGACATTAAAGGACCACTCATTGACAGCCGCTAGAGGCGCTTCCCACTGTGATTTTCACTGTGAGAAGACGCCAGCGTCAATAGCGTTAAGTTTAACCCCTTCCTCCCCCTAGAGCCCGGCGGGAGTGGGAACCTGAGCGTCGGGGCACCCTCAGGGCACTATAGTGCCAGGAAAACGAGTGTTTTCCTGGCAATATAGTGGTCCTCTAAAGCAGTACTGTCACTTTCACATTAAAGATAAGATATCTTTATAAATATTTATAAAAACTTGCAAAGATTGTTTAATTATAAAAGTAAGCATGTGCATTATTGTTATATAACTTGTGTGTTTTATTTTTAATACAGGATTTTCCAATTTTGTGTCAGACATGTTTGGGAGAAAATCCATATATTAGGATGGTAAGTCTTTTACTTGATCCATACTAAATGATACATGGCATGTTTTTGATGTTCGCATAAATGTGTTTAAGAAATGTGCTCAATATCCAGTTTTGGTATGGTAAAGTAACTTCTTTAATCTTAAAGTGTGAGATATTACGAAATTGTTATTTTTCAAGTTCTACATAGATTTTCAGCTGTGAATGGCTTTATGTGGTTCGCTTTTACTGCTATATAATATTACACATATTTGTATGCTGTGATGTCTCACAAGTACAACCATGTCATCCATGTACAGGTTGTGTGCTGTTTTGGAAAATTACAGGAATAATTGTAGGGCTTGCCCATTTCAGTTTGATCCTCAAACCTGATACCATAGTAAAGCATTGGGAGGCCATTGCTATAGGTGACAAAACTCTCTGCCAGTCAGCATCTCCTCATAATGCTGTATTAAATCAATGCGTCTCTATGAGTAACGTACCCAGGAAGTGCCTCTAGCAGCCATCTGGCTGCCACTAGAGGTGTTACTAGGCGGTAACATTCTCTGAAAAAGGAAGTGTTTACATTAAAAGGCCTGCAGGCACAGGCTGTAGATACCAGGAGAGCTGGTAGTTGTTCTGGTAACTGTAGTGTCCCTTTAACAATCACTGTTGTGATGTATTTTATTTTAAAGAGACAATCCAGGCTTAAACTAAGCAATCACACTCTCTTATTTTTATTATTTATATACTTAAATTGTATGTTTATATACAATAATGCCATGGTACAGACCTCTGGTTATACTATAAATGATAACAGATGAAGCACACTCAGTGGACTATAAATATAAGAAATCACTTTATTTTATTACATACCAAAGATAAATAGCAGATGAAGCACACTCAAAAAGACAGCACACATTTAGGTGCATAGCTACAAGATGCATTGACTTTTTTTTTTTTTTGTGCCCAGTGTGTCCCTCTAAGAACTATGCTTTATTGACGAGTTGGGTTTTTTTTTTTTTTTTAAAGGGGGATTTAGGCATGTAGAGAATCTAGATTACATTATGAGTTTCTCCATCTCTGTAATGAAAGACATGTTTGTGTTGCATGGAAGAGTAAAATGTATTTCTGCTTGTTTACAGACAAAAGAAAAATATGGCAAAGAGTGCAAGGTAAGTGAATTCATGATTGGAATTGTGCGGATGAACAGAAAAGGGGAAATATGCATAAATATGTAGTTAGTCTTTAAACATACATGGACAGACAAAGTAAATGGCTTGAAAAGGAGAAGCAAAATAACAGCATATGCAATTTTTTTTTTTGTTAAAAGGGTTTAATAATATCACACAGAAGTAGGATGCATATGCCAAGGACAGCTGGCGCATTACAAATATGAACTGCAAACAGGAGTGTTGCCTGGAATTATTGTTTTGCTCCTGTAAGCAAGTGATAATATATACTAACTGAAGTGGACTAATTTATTTTATTTTTTTGCTTACCTGTTTGGAAAGTATATTAGATGTAGGGTGAAAATTATATGCAGAATATGCTTCCTAACGTCAGGCTTTCTTTTCAGATTTGTGCTCGTCCGTTTACAGTGTTCCGCTGGTGTCCTGGTGTACGTATGCGCTTCAAGAAGACAGAGGTGTGCCAGACTTGTAGTAAGCTGAAGAATGTCTGCCAGACCTGTCTTCTGGATTTAGAATATGGTGAGTGGAGCCTTTCATTGTCATTGTGTGCTTTACTTAATGTTATGATCCACAATAATCATTGAATGCAGTGAAAAATAGGTAATATGTCAAGCAAATATCACTGTTGAAAGTTCCCATGACTATAGTGATTTTAGGTTTTTGTTATAAAAAAAAAAAATGTAAACAAAAGAGCTCAATCTCCTGTAGTAGACAATGTGTATAAAGCTTCCTTTTATTGTTTTGTTTAGGATTGCCTATTCAAGTGCGAGATGCCGGTGTGTCCCTTAAGGATGACATGCCAAGATCTGATGTAAATAAAGAATATTACACACAGAATATGGAGCGAGAGGTGAGTTGCCAAGTTTTTTTTTTTTTTGGGGGGGGGGCGTTTTGTTTACTGTTTTTTTTTACTTGTGTAGTAAAAAACCTATCCCACTATCAAATTTTATTCGTAACTATTAAAATTAATTTTAGAGTTTTAATTTGGATATTCATACTAGTACTTGAGGTAAAACTGGTAAAACTTCAAGAAATATCTGAAAATTTTACTTCTTTCTTAGCATCTCTCAAGTTAGATTCCACAGACTATTAGCTTATGTACTTCATAACAGGACTTTGATAAAAATGTGTTTAAAGAGTCTGCTAAATTGCCCTGTAACTTGACTGAATGTGTTAAGTTGTCTCTAAAAATAATAGTAATGTGAGCTTACATTAATTCTATTCCTCTATTAGATTTATATCATGAATTTAATTCATATACTTTTAATACACAGTCACAATTAATATTACAAAATGTATATTCTGTACACTCTGACCATTTATAAATATGCTTCAGGGAGCACCATAAATGCACATGGAAGCTCTGTAAAACTACAAGTTTTTATACCTGGTATTTGAAGGACAATGCAGAATACTTATTTATTTATTTTTATTACAGATTGGAAACTCTGATGGAACACGTGCAGTTGGTGCTCTTGGCAAAGCCACCTCTAGCAGTGACATGCTGCTAAAACTTGCTCGTACCACTCCTTACTACAAACGTAACCGGCCACACATTTGTTCTTTCTGGGTGAAAGGAGAGTGCAAAAGAGGGGAGGAATGTCCGTACAGGTAATATCCTTAACCAGGAGTGGTATCACAATTAAAGCTGAATATGTAGAACAGTTAGCAAACGATAGTTGTGTGCATCTTGTAAATACAGTGCTTGGTGAAGGTGCTGACATACACTTAAGAGTATGACTCTTGGAATACATTTGACCTTTCACTGTCAGCTTCAAGCTACTTGCAATATCTGTAATTATGCAAACCAAAATTGTATTCTACATTTACTGCAGGTGTGCTGCTGTACTTCAGATGTTACATTTGTTGCATGTGTAATACAAGTGCCATCTAATTACAAATTATATAGCAAGCTTAGCACTTATGATGGTAATGTCACCTTTGTGTATTTTTGCAACACAAAACACAGGTGATAAGTCCTAAGATTTTTGTTTTATTTAAATCGCTGCGTTCTTTTCAGTTGGACATGTACATCTTGTGTTTTGTTCTGTTTTTGTTATTCATTCATGGACTTTTTTTTTTTTTAAGGCATGAAAAGCCTACTGATCCAGATGACCCCCTGGCAGATCAGAATATTAAAGACCGTTACTATGGTATCAATGATCCTGTGGCAGACAAGCTCTTAAAAAGAGCATCCACTATGCCTCGTCTGGACCCTCCCGAAGACAAGAGCATTACAACGTTGTATGTTGGAGGGTTGGGTGACACAATAAATGAGGCAGAGCTCAGGTAAGCTTATGACTAAATTTTAATTTACAAATCCTATAAAATTTGTGTTGTAGCCTTGAGTCAATGCTATGAAATAGAACAAATATATTTTGGAGAAGGGGATCACTACACATGACGATTTTCTAGATTATTTTTTATAACTGGTGTGAGAGCTCAGCCAGTTGTTGCAGCATCTGTATATGGTGTTCACACATGACTGCAACTTCCTGCCCTCTTGAGTAGAAAAGTATGATGTAGCTGATGTTTTTATGATTAATTGCATTTGTTCTTATTTCAACAGGAGTCACTTCTACCAGTTTGGTGAAATACGAACGATAACAGTTGTTCAGAGACAGCAATGCGCCTTCATTCAGTTTGCAACCAGACAAGCATCTGAGATGGCAGCAGAAAAGTCTTTCAACAAATTAATTGTTAATGGAAGAAGGCTTAATGTCAAATGGGGAAGGTAAGATGAATTTCAATGTAACCACTAACACAGCAAATCATGAAAGCAGGTTTATGGCCTTCTGATATTTTTATAAAATGTTTGCTCTGAATTAAAACACTAACGATCTGAGAAATGAACACAAAAGCTAGAATGGACAGACTAGTCTTGCCTGATAGAGTGGGGAAAAAATGGATAGTGAACAGAGGTTTGTTCTGTGGGGTTCTACCCTGTAAAATAGTGGGCTATCACACAGATGATCTCTACTAGTAAAAATAAGCCCCCAGAAAATGTATACAAATAGGAATGAGAAATCCTACACGTAGTAGGATGTCGCCTGTGAGATTGCTTGAAACAGTATATTTATCACTTAGACCTCTGCCCTCATGCAATGTAATAATCTTACATTTAGAATAACCTGTCACTCATGTAGTATTTTATAGATAGTATATGTGTACTTACAGTATTAATGTAGTTTTTAACAGTGTATAAATCTAGTTTTGGCCCACTGTGGAGGATTACTTTAGAGTTGCATTTTTTTTTTCCCCCGGTAGTAGTACACCAACTGAAATCATTAATCTTGTTTGCTAATACTAATGTTTCCAAAACCTATAATTGCTGCTATGTTGTGGTACAGTAAATAACAATTCAAAGTGTACACATTTTGGGTCACCATCTCCTCTATAAGTTCTACAACATCTTAATAAGAGGAGTATTAGTCTTGACAAAGATCCAACAAGGGCTGAACCATTGCCCAATCACTCATGGTGATTGGAAAAAGAAAAAGGTTCCTGATTCATACTACGCGGTTGGCAAAGAATTCCTTTTGATTTGCCGCCAAATATTTGTATATTTTTGGGTTCTGCTAGTAACTAATGTGGTATGTTTTGTTTTCCCCAGGTCTCAGGCAGCCCGAGGGAAAGAAAGAGAGCGGGAAGGCACCAGTGATTCTGGACTGAAACTGGAGCCCGTCCCTGGTCTTCCTGGAGGTTAGTTTTATTGCTGTCCTTATTACTTTGAATAAGATATTCTTGATATTTCTGCATTAAATATATTTTGCTTGGGCATATATTTTATCAGACTAGTACCACGTGCCTCTTAAATCATTTGTTCGTAGCAAGGGAATACATATGTAGAGTATCCACTCTTGTTACCTGATGTCATGAAACATGCGCTAAAAGAACACGGAAGTACCTCTTCCCTGGGCCTAATTACCAAAATTGCAGTGTTGCATAATGTCAGATGCAGTCAGTTATTCCTCAGCAGCACCACCTGACTTCTGATGTTTTGTGACACAAGCTATGAGACACTGTTGGGGCCCTTATCTTGGCATAGTGCTTACAGTGCAGGTCGACGGGTAAAACATTGTCTATCTCTCTTGATATAGTTATTCCGCAATAGACATATTGTAAAATTTGCATCTAATGAAGACAACTTAGAGTAATTAAATGCAAACATTTTACGAGAGAATGTATATAGACCCTGAAGCTTTCACTTGCTGTGGATTTAGAACATTTCGTAGTGTCGTATTTAAATGAGTCTAGTGCATTTTTGGACACGCCATATTTTCTTGCACAATAATTGAAATTCATTTGTTTTCCTTTTGTTTTTGCAGTTTTACCTCCCCCACCTACAGAAGAGGAATCATCTGCTAACTACTTCAATCTCCCGCCTAATGGTTCAACGACTTTGGTTAATATAGCTTTGCCTCCTCCACCTGGAATTAGTGGCCCACCTCCAGGTAATTTCAAAATTCCAATGTCACTTAAGGCAGGGCTTGACAAATTTGTTTGGAATATAGGAGCCAGCTAAAAAAGTTAAGAGCCAGTCATTTTCAACGAGTGTGCAATTCTTAAAGGGACACTATAGTCACCAGAACCACTACAGCTTGATGTAGTTGTTCTGGTGTATTTAGCCTTTCCCTGCGGGCATTTCAGTGTAAACACTGCCTTTTCCTGCGAAAAGGTACAGTTTACATTGCTGCTTAGTAACACCTCTAGTGAGTCACTCAGATGGCCACTAGAGAGCCCTGGGTCACTACTGCACCACGTGCAGCACCCAGGTTCAGTGTCTCCAAGCGCTGAATGTTTCTCATAAAGATTGATTAATGTAATGCATCTCTATGAGGAGATGCGGATTGGTACATTTGCTGCGCATGCACAAAATCCTCCCAATACTTTCCTAAAACTGGCACGGCGTGGGAAAATGGAAAGAAAGGTGAGTAAAAACACCAGGTACCTAAACTCGAGCGTGCACACACACACTCTGACAGGCTCACATAAACGCTCTTACGCTGACAAAAGGCTTGCACGCACACACTGACAGACTCTCATACACAAACTGACAGTTGCTCACACACTCTCTTGACAGGCACTCGGACAGGCTCACATACACACTCATCACTCACACTGACAGGCTCTCTAACAAACACACACACTCTTGACAGGCTTACACACACACACACACACACATTTTTGTTTTAATTGAAACCCACTTGGCCTCCCTACCTTTTGTGAGTGCTGAGTGGGTCTTTCCTGTGGTCCAGTGGGGCTGCTCTCTTCCTGTGTACGAGGGAGCAGTACTCTGCCTGTAGCTCCTCTCTGCTCCCTCCTGCTCTGTAATGATGCCAGGGGCGGAATGACGTCATATTCCGTCTCCCGACATCACTAGACAGCGCGACGGAGCAGAGTGGAGCTACAGGCAGAGTAATGCTCCCGTGGACGGACAGCTGCCTCAAATATACCCCATGACTGCTGCCGTCAAAGCTCCCTCCCACACTAACTAGAGAGCTGGCAAATCCCAGACACCAGGGCGAAATTTCTAGTCGCCCTGGCGATCTGTACCTGCGATTTGTCGAGCCCTGACTTAAGGTAATACGTCCTCTTACTTGTTGACATTTCAGGTGGTGAGAGGATACATTTCCCTTATTATTGTGCTGACATTTTTCTGGTCATGTCTGGCCGAGAACAAAATGGGAAATCCCCAAGATATCCTCTATAGATCTTTTTATACATATGTAATAATGTTATAGGGTGGTGAAGGCCTACTTTGTTATAACATTCATAACCTTGGAGGATTTTATTTATCTGTATGTATTTTGTTGTTGCTGCTTTCTATGGATGAATTGTATCAGGTACAGAGAATATTTGAGACTTACAGCACTATTTCAAAACTCAACCTACGTTGTTTTACTGTTTATTTTTTCTACTGGTACCAACATCTTTGTATTCAACCTCTACTTAAGTAGGAACAGTTATAAAGTCATCCATACACAAGGCATTTTGTACACTTGGTTTCAATATGAGATCTTTACAATCGTGCATGTGTGTAATTCTGATACAATATACAAAGCAAGTCTTGTCTTCCATATTAATGGAATATGAAGTAGGTTATAAAGGGGTTTTTTTTTGGTTTGTTTTTATTGTACATATTTGATATGTTGCTTCATAATTTTTTTTTTTTAATTTTTTTTTAGGATATGGCCCACATATGTTTCCTTCCATGGCTCCACCACCTTTTCTACGTGCCCCAGGGCACATCCACTATCCTTCTCAAGATCCTCAAAGGATGGGAGCACATTCTGGCAGACATAGTAATGCTTGACTTTAGGATATACTTAACCCCAATCAAGCAGAATGGTGTTTGAATGTGCATACTCTCATTTTAAGCAAAAGACTGTGTTTTATCTTCACAAAGGCCACAGTTTGCCAATGTATTGCAGTTCCTAATGGTAGCAAAATGTTGCTTAAAACAGTGGACGATGACTTTTAAACAGTCTTATAATACGGAACAGAAATCTTCTGACTACATTTTATACCGGTTTGTTTGGGGGGTTTTTTTGTTTTGTTTTTGTTATGAAAACAGTCATCTCCATATTGTGAGAAAAAAAATAAATCATTCAATTCAACCATGTATATTAAGATTCCATTCCACAGCCTGGACTAATTTTGTTAAACTACGTTACAAAAGCCCGAACTTATGGACCTGGACTTGTATTTTTAGGATAATTTTTTTTTTTTGTCTGCTAAATGTTTATTTCTTGTTCACAACAATATGAATAGGTGTAAAGATAAAATCAGCAAGTTCTTGTATTGTCTATGTCCACAGAAATATAAAACTTAATTTGCCTTAGTTTTGCGACTGGTGGTTTTATTTTTTATTTTTTATATTGTTTAAATATATAATGGCTTTTGTGAAAGCCTTGATTATATTTCACCATAGAGAAATATTCTATTTACAATGATGTTTGTAATATTTCTTCAAAGAAGAACCCTAAAAGTGTAAATCCATTATGCTCTGTTAGAAAATTCCTCTATTATTGTTATTTATATAGCGTCAACTTATACCGCAGCACTTTACATTATTATATTAAGGGAATAAGTTAGGCAAACCATTCTAATGACACGTTTTTCAGATGCGTGTCCATTATCGTGGATACTTAAAGGAGCACTATAGGGCAATAAGGTGTCCCGGACCATTTTAGCCACTTACCTTTGTCCAGCGCCGAGCTCCCTCTGTGCTGGGGAACTCTCCACCCCCTGCCGACATCAGATCCGCATGCGCATTCAAACAGCCTATATGAAAGCATTACTCAATGCTTTCCTATGGACATCCAGCGTCTTCTCACTGTGATTTTGGGAAAATCTTACCTTTACTACAGTCTGCTGGTGCTGGCTCTGCCCCTGATCTTCCTCCGCCCGATCTTCCCCCTTGCTGACCTCATCCGAAATGATGATTTCCGACAATCACAATGCTTTACCCTAGGAAATCATTGGATTGGCCAAGATTGGTAATTCTGATGATCTCAGCCAAGGAGGCGGGCTGGGGGCAGAACCAAACATCGCCCTGGCCAATTGGCATTTCCTCAGTTGCATTGAATTAATGCGTCTCTATGAGGAAAGTTCATTGTCTCCATGCAGAGGTTGGAGACACTGAGTATCTGTGCAGCACTCCTCCAGGAAGCACCTCTAGTAGCCATCTGAGTGGCGGTCAGTGGAGGTATCACTAAGCTGTTATGTAAATACTGCATTTTCTCTGAAAAAGGACTGTAGGGACTGACGACACTCACCAAAACAATTGGATTAAGCTGTAGTTGTTCTGGTGACTATAGTGTACCTTTAAATAGACACTTTGTAGACATTAAAACCTTTCATCTCATTGTTATAGTTGCATGGACATAGAGCCTGGCATCCTCTGGCGCGTCCCTCCATATAATGTTAAACAATTTTCAAGCAATTGAACATTAAATAAGTCTATGGCTTCCCACAGCCTGGTCCCTACTGGAGATATAAATATTTAAATTATTCCTTCTAAAACATGCCATTTGATACCAGTTGGGTGCTTTGAAAATTGCTAATGGCAGCTGCTCGGGCTAATGCTTCCTCATTAGCCCAAGCAGCTCTGGGGAGATGGGCTATTTAGGTCTGTCCTTTAGTATTGAACCATTAAAAATATTCTAACACTAAATAGGATAGTGCCCGGGAACTCCCTACACTAGAACCATTTCAAAATGGAGAAATTAGTGTCCCTTTAACCCATTTGTATTATTTCCTTATATTTGTCAATACTTCTAATTGTATGTAAAATACATACATGTATCTAGCTAAACATACCCACACAATGTTCTAAGACTTTTGTGTTCCAAATAGAATGAATTACACGGAAATTCATTCTCTCCGGTTCCCAGTCCTTATTAGTTAAAGGACCACTATAGTGCCAGGAAAACACTCCTTTTCCTGGCACTATAGTGCCCTGAGGGTGCCCCCACCCTTAGTGACCCCCTCCCGCCCGGCTCTGGAAAGGGGTTTAAACTTACCTTTTGCCAGCGCTGGGCGGAGAGCTCTCCTCCTCCGTTCCGCCCCGTCGGCTGAATGCGCACGCGCGGCAATAGCTGCGCGCGCATTCAGCCGGTCGCATAGGAAAGCATTTATAATGCTTTCCTATGGACGCTGGCGTGCTCTCACTGTGAAAATCACAGTGAGAAGCATGCAAGCGCCTCTAGTGGCTGTCAATGAGACAGCCACTAGAGGCTTTGGGGGAAGGCTTAACCCATTAATAAACATAGCAGTTTCTCTGAAACTGCTATGTTTATTAAAAAATGGGTTAACCCTAGCTGGACCTGGCACCCAGACCACTTCATTAAGCTGAAGTGGTCTGGGTGCCTAGAGTGGTCCTTTAATGCTTGATTAATTGGATTTTTTTTTTTTTTTTGGAAGATTCTTCAACAACCTAATCTGCTTCTGGAAGAGAGGTGGTTTGTGTTTTATTTAAAAAAAAATAAAATAAACTTTTGCTCTGTTTGTGCCTTTCTTTGCGCCTCATCAAACTTAAAGGGGCACTATGGTCACCAGAAAAACTACTGTTCAGTGTAGTTGTTCTAGTGCGAATATACTGTCACTGCAGGCATTTTCATGTAATCACTGCCTTTTCAGGTGCCTAGGGACACCTCCAGTGGCAGTCACTCAGAAGGCTACTTAAGGTGCTTCCTGAGTCAGTGCACCACTCTGCATGGAGGGGCTGAACTTTCCTCATAGAGCTGCATTGATTTAGTTAATCACTATGAGGAGATGCTGATTGGTCAGTGTGGTGTTTTGCCACGCAATAGCTTCCAAATGCTTTTATATAGGAAAGTATTGGATTGGCTGCGATAATCAGTTAAAAGCTAGCTGAGCATCATGGGAAATGTACTCCAGAAACAATTTATGGTGTCAAGGTTAGCAGTCACTGATCTAAGCAGTGTCAATTTCTTGTACAGGGGACTCTAGTAATGTTACTTTATTAATCGGATCCTTCATCTCTACATTTTTGTTCATTAACATTTGTGTATTCATTAACCCCTTAGTGACCAGACCGCTTTTCAATTTTCTTACCGTTTGAGACCAGGGCTGTTTTTACATTTCTGCTGTTGGTTTAGCTGTAATTTTCCTCTTACTCATTTACTGTACCTACACATTATATACTGTTTTTCTCATAATGGTCTTTCTAAAGATACCATTATTTTCATCATATCATAACTATAAATTTATAAAATATGATGAAAAAATTTAAAAAAAACAAGAACACTTTCTCTAACTTCAACCCTCAATCTGTTGCGCATGTACAACCGCTAAAAAAAATGCCCATGCTATAAATAGTTTCTAAATTTTGTCCTGAGTTTAGAAATGCCCAATGTCAGCATGTTCTTTGCTGTTTTTTGCAAGTTATAGGGCAAGAAGTACAAGGTAGAACTTGGCTATTTCCAAAAAAATTTCCCCAAAATTAATTAGTTACATTGTAACACTAATGCAAATACAGAGGATATAAGGTTAAACAGTAGGAATAAGGTGCTACAATCACCTATGTGAAGTCACTTAATCACATCAAAACATACACAATAAAAAAGTGGGTGGTGAGAGCACACTAATAAATATTGCACATTACCCTTAATTACATGTAGAATTGGTAAAAAAAAAAGTGCTAATACTCAATCCAGGATCCACAAACAGATCGATAGTTTATATATGCCTGTAGATTGAAACAGAAAAAGGGGGGGGACATGAAGTAGTGTAATAACGTAGGAGCCACTTGACAATTTGAAATTTCAAAGGTTCCACTCACATAGTCATGAGCCACTTGTTAAAAGCTGGCTCAGACTAAAGGTAAATCAGGTGAAAGCACGTGGACATCAGGTACCAAGCAGTTTTTTCCTCTGTGATCTTGCAAGTTGTTTGTCGCTTAAAAATATTCCAGGATGCAGGAAATTTCGCAAACAAATTTATTTATACACTATGAGGTAGTTTTAAAAAACAAAATAAAATAAACCTTAAAAGTCCACTATTACTGTAACTCGAAATTGACGCGTTTCGGCGATGCCTTTTTCAAAAATTCCTACTTCACCTTCCTTTCTCGCTGTTTAAATAGCCCAAATTTGGCGCCTTTCTTCCGTTGCGTCATGATGTCATGACGTCTCTATTTCCGCTTACGGCATCGTCGTAGCCGCATCCTTCATTCCGACGTCTTCTTTCGTGGTTTCACATGACGTCACCGGCGTACGGACGTCATGAGGCATCTTCTGGGAGGGCGGGCTTCCCTCCGATCAAATTCTTGTCATCATTTGAAATAAACATCCCTCAATTGTTCAGAAAACATCTCTTGACAAAATTAATATATTGAACATACATTTACAACATTAATATAAAGAGCTTTATTAAAAAACTATTTTTAAAAAGTGATTTTATATATCCTTTTGTTTCTTACTTACACAAATCCAACTCATACATTTAAAAAGAGGGGGAAAAAAAACACATATTAATATTCCAAAAAAACATTTCCAAAATCTACAAAGTATTAAGGGAGAATAGGATTTAAAATCAACCCTTTAAATGAATCAATTTCTAAAAAGGAGATAAACCTTTAAAATACTTATTAAATATTGATAAAAAAATAATTTTTCCATAAATTTTTTAAAAACTTTCTTTTATAAAAAGGTAAAAATGTAACCCCTTAAGGACCGAGGACGGTTCAGGACCGTCATCGGCATTTTCCCATTGCCGACCGCTGACGGACCTGAACCGTCATAACTGTCCTAGTTACTTACCTGTTCACCATCGTTCCCCCGGCGTTGCTCCCGGTGTGGGGAGACTGCCTGCAGCCCAGACAGTCTCCCCACACTGGATTAGGATCTCTGTGGTCATGTGATTGCTTAACACAGCGATCACATGGTCACAATAGGTGTCCGTGTCTGCCTGTGCTGACAGGCAGTCTCCCTGCATGTGTAAAATCAATAAAAAAAAATTTTTTATTTAATTTAATGTTAATTTAAAAAAATAAATTATATGTGTATATATATATGATATATAGACATATATTATATCTATATATATATATATATATATGTCTAAATATCATATATATAATGTCATACTAAGTGTATTTTTATATTAATATGTACTTATATTAATATAAAAATACTTATAATTAAATTACACACGTATATATTATATATAATAACTATATGTATTGTGTATATATATATATATATATATATTATTATAAAATATAAATAATTTAAATTAAATAAAAAAAATTTTAAATAATAAAAATTGAAAAAAATTTTATTTATGAAATTTTATTCTAACTGTATTTTAAAATTAATATATATATATCTTAGAATGAATTTGTATATATATCTATGTATATATAAAT